GATATTTGCCAGTGCTTGCTGAATGCCCTGGGCGTGGGGCACCCATCTCTGGACCAGGTCTCCTCCATCACTGCCAAACATGGACTCCACTCCAAACTCACAGGGGCAGGGGGAGGGGGGTGTGCACTGGTGCTGCTCAGGCCAGGTGGGTATCCAACCAACATTCAATGGTTCAGTTCACATGTAGTGCAGTATACTAGTAGTTGTTAGGTTGGTATCCAACCAATGTTCAATGGTTCAGTCTACATGTAGAGTTGGTAGGTTGGTGTCCAACCGTTAATTGCTACAGTCTACATGCAGTACAATATATTGGTATATTGGTAAACACAATCATTGCTATTAATGTAATACTACATACTATTTTCTTAGTTAAAGAGTTTGACTTGTTCCAACACAATAAGGAGAACTCACCATAAATTTTCGGCTGATCCCGTCAACCTTCGTCAGATTTGTGATGCAATCGCTGACTTTCCGGAAGTCGGAAACGTTTCCGACTTCCGGAAAGTCAGCGATTGCATCACAAATCTGACGAAGGTTGACGGGATCAGCCGAAAATTTATGGTGAGTTCTCCTTATTGTGTTGGAACAAGTCAAACTCTTTAACTAAGAAAATAGTATGTAGTATTACATTAATAGCAATGATTGTGTTTACCAATATACCAATATATTGTACTGCATGTAGACTGTAGCAATTAACGGTTGGACACCAACCTACCAACTCTACATGTAGACTGAACCATTGAACATTGGTTGGATACCAACCTAACAACTACTAGTATACTGCACTACATGTGAACTGAACCATTGAATGTTGGTTGGATACCCACCTGGCCTGAGCAGCACCAGTGCACACCCCCCTCCCCCTGCCCCTGTGAGTTTGGAGTGGAGTCCATGTTTGGCAGTGATGGAGGAGACCTGGTCCAGAGATGGGTGCCCCACGCCCAGGGCATTCAGCAAGCACTGGCAAATATCAACCAGCTCCTATTAGGACAAAACAGTAGGGGTCAGATTTGTACATATTTCTGTCAGCCATTCAGTCTAGAGAAATGAACTTGTACTATGATGGAAATACTGCTTGTAAGACTGTTGCTGATGCTTGAAATAAATGTTACATACTATCATATATAGATGTTGACCAATCAGATGGCTACATTTCCCATTAGTTATCATCAAAAAGTGGTCGGTTATTAGAATAATGCTGCGCTCACTCGGTGGTTTATTCGGTGGTTATTGCACCTGAGTAGGGATTATCTCACCATATACACCTCTGGGCATTAACCCTTCATTCAATGATAGTGTCCCAGTTATCCACAATTCAGTCACCATACTAGGGACAATATTACTGCCATTTGACCCATTTGAATTACTTCTTATATCTTCAATTGTTATCTATTGTCTGTCTTCGCTTAAAAAGTAACAGTCTCTATCTATGATTAAGTGTTAACCTGGAAGTACCTTTCTTTTGAAATTCTTACCTCAAGAATTTGGTAGTTTTTTCCCTGAGTGTTTTCTTGCCCATCCACAGGACTCCCACCTAACTCCAGTAACACCCTCTCACATGTACATGATATCTCCTCTATGGAGTCAAGGATAGGTTCCATAATGGCTGGCAGCTAGTGATGGAAAAAGGTCAGACAATTAAAACTAAACTAAATGTATGGTGCTGAAGCACACAGATATATTTTAAAGACATATTTCTTAGGAAATATCAAATATGAATGTTGCAATAAACTGGCAATAGATCCTTTCCCCGTGACTTTTCCCCTTGTACCTACCCTGTTGTATCTATCCCTGACCCCCTGTACCAGCACTTTGGTGCTTCGTGGTCCCTTGGTGTTGACGAGCAGAATCTTTAGTGCAGCAACACTGGAAAACACAACACACATATTACAAAGGGTTCAACTTCAACAAATTAATAGGGCAAATGATAATATTTGAGAATTTGTTGAAACAGAATAGAAACTTAGACAAACCTTTCGAATGGAGATATTTTTCCACTCTTGAAGCTGATTGCATCACCTGAAAGACAATATACAAGAATCACCTACTTTTGTAAAGCCTCTTTAAGAAAAAATGGCAAAATGACAACCAAGGCACAAGTTGTAACTACCTTACCAAATGTGCTAACAGAGTTGTCAATCCCTGAAGGGTTGCCATGGATGAGTTTCTCTCCTTGAAAGGCCCAAGCATTGATCACCTCCAAGTCTTCCTTGGACCACGTTTTTCCTGCACAAAATAGTTAACTAAGATCATTGCATTTTCCTTATACAATTGCTAGGCAAATAAAAACCCCTGCATGTCCAGGACAAAAGATACAAAAACCAGTAGGTCTGTTTCAGCACCAAGGACAGCCACTAGACACCTCACATTTGACCTTGTCCTTTGTCTTTCAAAGACCTACACACATCCCAAATGCCATCACAATTGATTCAGGCCTTATTACAAATGTGTGGAAACACAGACAGCCACACAGACTGCACTGTAACTCAGACCAAAAACAAAACAACACTTTTGATAAAGGTTTGATTGAAGAGAACATGACAGTACCTTCAGGTCTACTGATGACATTACACATAGTCAGGAGCCCAGCTGCCAGTGCTGTACAGTAGGCTGCCGACGACCCAAGCCCCGCCCCTGGGGGCAGCTGGGAGGCTGCGTGGAATCTTCCCGCTGGACATTTCCTGGGGGAGGGAGGGGGGAAGTAGTGGGCACACGTTTGAACCTTCAGGACTTCTACTTTAACTACCAATGCAAATGTACTGTGTTGCTTGCTTCTTATTAGTTTGGAAAGTCTCAAAAGTATTTAGTTTCTTGTAATCTTTTGAAAATTCAATGGAAGGAATTAGATTTGTCCTTTTCGTTAACTTCAAAGTGACATTGAAACAGGAGTAGGCAAGCTTAGCATTCCACCAGAGGAAATGCTATATTGTCCATTTACGGAAAGTTCAGAGCTGACAAAAAGTGACCTGACAGTTATGGTATTAGCTATAAGAGACTGATGCCAAGCAGATATGGCAAAAGGTTTGAAAGAGAAAGGATATGTGCAGCTTTACCATAAGAAGAATGTAAGAGGTCAAATTTGACTGTAGTAGTGTTCTATGTACTAGTACCTTACTGTTGTGTGGTGTATTGACGTATACATGTACAAGAAGGCCAGTAATGCCAGAGTTCTGGTGTCTGTGTGGTCAGTATCAGTTCCAGCCAGTCTGTGTAGAGCTGCCAAGTACTTGTCACTGGGAGGACTGGGATTCTTTACATCAACATTGCCTAGATAGAAAGGGATATGTCATAGAAAAAATGTAATTAGAAGCAGCCATCCTCTAATTGGGTGATGCAAAAAAATGTTTGTACTTTTTCTATTGCTAGCCTTGTATTTTCAACCAAGTACACTATGTTACTAGTCACCACCTCTATATTCAATAGGACCATGGTACCACTTGGCCAATGTGACCACTTTTTGGTCGCCCCTTCCAAGCATTGAGAATCCTGCCTCTACCAGGCTTCGGGAGGCAGTTGGAAAGAGTAGAAATTGTGTTGCAGCAAACTGTACCCTCAAGCGGACCAACTATCCTGGCATGTTATCTCTCTATTTGGCCAAGTTCTACTCTTTCAAATTGCCTCCCGAAGTCTGGTAGAGACTAGTCTATATATAGAGGCTAGTCCATATGTAGAGGCTGTCCATATAGACCAGATTTTATTAGTCACTAGAGTGGTCTTATTGGGTAGTTTTGTAATTGTTATGAATATGGCTGATAGAATTGTCTAACTCCAGGGAAACATTCCGCACCTGTTGGTTGAGCAGCTGCCAGGTCTGCCACCTGCCAGGTGTTCGACAGGCTGATGTCAGGTAGTTCGAGGGTGACCGCAGTACTGTCAGGTATCAGGTGGATCTTCAGCTGTGTACGTAGGTCCAGACTGGCAGCAATGGCTTTCTGTGGACCAAAGGTGAATTCTCAGTTTCTATGACATGAAGCAAAATTCAGGTGAGTTCTAAGCAGCCTAAGTCTATTAATAGGGCACAAAATACCAACTGGATATTTAGTGTTTTTTTTATAGTTGCAGAAAAAAATGTCAAGAAAATTCAACTTTGCTAACTAAAATATCACTGTTCCAGCATTATGGATCATATATTGTAGGAGACAGAAGGAAAGTATTTTAGCTCTTCGATATCGCACGATCAGGTGATGTGGTGGTGTGATCAGTACATGGGGAGGGGGGCATACGAAAATTTACCTCATGACACGCGATATTTCCCGAATCTAACGTACATCCTAAGGTCTCTTTATCTAAAGGAGCATAAGACAGTTACCCTTCCATAAACAACTGCATGTTCCCCAAACAGAATGACTTTTCCCGGGGCGGAGACAACAATTTCAGGATCTGACATTTTTCCAACCTGCAGCAGACGACAAAGTTTGAATTCAATCCCATAATGCACAGCGCCGTGTTTGAATGTTTTCTATCCCAGAGTGCACCGCGTTATGACCTCTGACCCGCCGTACACTTTTCCCGCCATGTTTGTGATTTGAAAGCAGGATTTTTTTTACGCGTTGCGACATCGAAAAAGGCGGCGAAAAGATTGCTTAAAAGCGTTGGTAGTGGACGTTAGGGTACATTTTGTGATTGTGCAGGTGTGAGAGAGTCTACAGAAGCAAAATGTCCGGGGATACCTTAGAATTCGACCAAATTTTCCAAGAAAATAAAGGCGCTATGGTAAGTGAATTTTTGTTTTCACGTGTTACTTTTTGTTCCGTTCTTTGTCAGTTAATGTATTCTTATTCAACCATACTGAAGTGGACAAGTAATCTATACGTTTTGTTTGTGATCTGTAGACTACAGCAGAATTTATCTATCAAACATTTTTATGATTTTCAGGAATGATTTTCCGTGCTATAATAATTATAGTGGGGAGGGGGGCACAGCTCTCTTTACTAGTCATAAAAGTAATACATGTAGTTCTATTTCTAGATCTACACATTTGTTCACACGTATCCAGAATTTTGTCCACAAAGCTATCAAGAAGTGGCTACCAAATGGAAGCAAAACATTATGAATATCTGGAACATTGCATAATTTATGTTCATAAATATGTGTCGTCAAGTATGCATAAAAGTTCATAATTTGTCACATTTTCACATATCACAGTACGATGGCAGACTTCGGATCACCAAGCAGGGAATCGTCTTCAAGAACAACAAGACAGGAAAGGTCGATAACCTGGCGGGCACTGACCTGAACTTGACCCACTGGTTCAGGGTCGCCAGAGGTTATGAGCTGAAAGTCGGCCTCAAGTCTGGAGCCGTCTTCAAGTACGATGGGTTCAAGGAGTCGGTAAGTACAACATTCAAGTTCTTTCGTAGAAAGAAATATCATGATCTTATACGTATAGGTGCAAGGTCAAGAATTTGTAATTGTCTTAATTTTTTTCTAACCATATTCACTATTGACATTAGTGTGGATTTTCAAGAGGAAATACACATTGAGTGTCTAAAACATCAGGTATTCTTTTTTTTCTTATTGTTAGGACTTTGACAAACTGTCGGACTTCATCAATAAGAACTACAAAATGCGTCTTGAGGAGAAGGAGCTGTCAGTCAAAGGCTGGAACTGGGGGACTGCCAAGTTCAAAGGTAGGAAACACAGATGTAACTGGAACTTGTAGTAGAAGTACCAGAGAAAATATAAATTGTGTATCTGCTTCAAAGCAGCACCATTGTAACTTGTTGTTTTCTGATTTAAATGAATAGTGCTGAAGTTGAAAGCAGGAGGTACGGTATGGAGATTAGTCTGGAGAAAACCAAATGCCTTGTATCTGGTCCGTCTGATACAAATGGCCAAGTCACAGTCAGAGGCACAGAACTGGAGCAGGTCAGTGAGTTTACATACCTCGGCTCTGTCCAGACAGAAGACTGCAGCTCAGACAAAGAGGTGAAAGTCAGGATTGCCAAGTCAACCCTTGCACTGTCAAAGCTAAAACACATTTGGTGCAGTCATAGCATCTCCATGCCAACAAAGATATGCCTACTACGCTGTCTTGTGCTATCTATTTTCTTGTATGGTGCTGAGACATGGACTTTGAATGCAGCTATAGTGAAGAGAATCAATGCGTTTGAGATGAACTGTTATCGCAGACTGCTACGGGTTCACTGGACATCACACACTACAAACAAAGAGGTCATGGAACGCATCCACACCTTGGTCCTTGCAAGGCCCACTCGACAGCTTCCTGGCCACAGTTAAGAAGAAAAAGTTACAGTGGTTCGGACATGTGTCTAGGGCCAAAGGCACACTGTCACATACAGTTCTCCAGGGTAAGGTGGAAGGCGCACGGCCGCGGGGACGTCCCCGTCGGTCATGGATAACGGACTTAAAAGAGTGGACTAGTTTAACAGCCAACCAGATGGCCAGACTGGCGGAGGACCGCCAGCAGTGGAAGAACTTGGCCAAACATGCTGCCCCGACGGCTGACTAAGCTATGGGAGAGAGTGAGTGAGTGAAGTTGAAAGTCTGAGAAAAGTCTCTGAGTCTGAACGTAAATTTTGCACACAGTTTCAGGAAGTGAAATAATAAGTTTCTACTCTGAGTCAGATTCAAGTTCTTCCAATCTTCTGCCTGCATCTTAATCTTTTGCTAGACAGTCACTTTAAAATTTGGAACTTTTGAACCCCCCGGGATCAAAGCAAGTAATTAGCTGCCGGATCTCTGGTCTCTGATGCGACATGGCTTCAGTCTGACTCCACGCGGCCAGGGGCTATCATGGAATAAAGGAATTAGAATGGTGTAGTGTGATCTTATTTATATATCAACTAAGATGTCAAATGTAATGAAATTTCAAGTTTAGGTTATTCCTAAATCTTGTTGTTTTCCAGGCCCTTTGCTGTCCTTTGACATTGACAACATGTCTGCATTTGAGATCCCGCTGGGTAACGTCTCCCACTGCGCCACGTCCAAGAACGAGGTCGCGCTAGAGTTCCACCAGAACGACGACGCTGACGTGTCACTCATGGAGATGAGGTTCTACGTCCCGCCCAATCAGGACAACCCAGACATAGACCCAGTCCAGGTGTTGTAGCTTGTTAATTGTATAGTCCTCACAATAGCATTTGTATTGTGTTGTATGCAAATTGACAAGTATGTGACGTAAAGTATTTTTGGCAACACCTCAGGGGTGGAGCTAATAGTATCCCATTCATTGTATAGATTTCATAGATGTCAAATGCTTTCTTAGCAGCAACATCTTTTGCTGGTTTTATGAATTTTTTTAATGATAAAAATATGGATTTATGAAATTTTTTATGATAAAAATATGGATTAGCAAGAAGACAGGTAAAGCAGTATGTTCAGATGTTGTTGTTAAGTCTACTTAATTATACACAAGACATTAGAGCAGATTTTTGAGATGTAACTTGTGTCTTGATCCTTAGGCTTTCCATGATAATGTGATGGACAAGGCAGACATCATCCAGGCCACTGGAGATGCCATCTGTATCTTTAAGGAACTCCAGTGTCTTACACCAAGGTAACTTCTTCTTCAAACCCTTGTATCTTGTTTTGAAATGTATTGTATTTTTTTTATGTTATGTGCTTATGGCATCTTAATATTCCCAAATAGATAAGTTTTTTTTTGTTTGTGTGAGTAAGGTTGATTACTTGAGGGTGGTAGAAAAACAGCTACTTCGAATTCAGTGTGCTTGAACTAGTGTAGAATGATGGTTGATATTTTGTTGGCTACAGAGGCAGATATGATGTGCGTATCTACCCCACCTTCCTCCATCTCCATGGAAAGACGTTTGACTACAAGCTGCCTTACACAACAGTCCTGCGTCTCTTCCTTCTCCCACACAAGGACCAGCGACAAATGTTCTTTGTGGTAAGTCCACGTAGAAAATAGGAGTTTTTTTTGCCCAAACTATGTTTTTCACACTTGGTCTCACTTTCACACTTCTCAAACTATGCCAACATTTCAGGAGAGAGATATCTAAATCTGCCATACATCAGCTCCAAATGCCCTGAGAACATTTCTGCATCTTTCTACTACAATTAAGAAAGTGTTAAATTAGAATTCTCACAATGTGACTTCTAAAGCCTGGGCCACGTACATGAACATTGTATGGTGTACTTAAAATGTATTTTCCACAGTACATGTATCATTCTATATTGTATGTTTGAGAAGAAACGATAGTTTAATTTTGCTCCTGTTTCTTATCAAATCTACTTTGTATGTGTACAGCACAATCATTGTGAAAACCCCTCCATCGTAGCTGTATCATATGATATGTGTTCCATAATCCATGTTATCCGTGTAGTCTATATTTACAGTGTAATCTCTCTTGATCCACAGGTTAGTCTGGATCCCCCCATCAAACAAGGCCAGACCAGATACCACTTCCTCATCCTGCAGTTCAGTAAGGATGAGGACATGACCTTGGAGCTCAGCCTGTCAGAGTGAGTCACCTTGAAGACCATGATTTTAAAAAAGTACCTGAAATGCTGCTTAGTGTAAAGTCAGCAGTATCAAAATACTGCTGTGTGGATATTTGGTCTCTCAAAGTTCTTTAGGCAAAGAGTCAAACCTGGTAATAATTATATATTAATGGTGATAATTTTGACCACTGTTTATATCAAATTTCTTGCAGTTTAAGAATATTCCATTTGTACATGAGGTATTGTATTACTGTATTAATCACTACAGTGCCTACAGTCTTGGTGCAAAAGTGCACTTTTACTGAAGTATTTGGTGCACTGTAGCAGAGAGAACTTGACTAAGGACTGTATCATTTTCTTGTAGAGAGGACTGTGCGGATAAGTTTGAGGGAAAGCTGCAGAAGGAGATGTCAGGCCCTGTGTACGAGATCGTCAGCAGAGTCATGAAGTCCATGGTCAACAGGAAGATCACAGTACCCGGGGGCTTCAAAGGGTAGGGAGATGTGGTGTTGTATTTAAAAATTGTGCTCCATTACAAGACATGCTCTCACTAATGTTTCAGTACCATGATGGTAACCTGCAGTTATAGGCAAAACTGCATGGTGGTGTCTTTTTTAAAAGAACATGGAAATCTTCTTATCCCTTGACAATTGTTCAACTCTAACAATCAAGTCAACTCCTGCTGTTTCAGTAACTGGTACTGGTTCCACTTTGGTAACCTGTAGTTATAGACAGTGCTGCAAGGTGGTGTCTTACACATTACAATTGTACTCCATTACAAGACATGCTGTCACTGCTGTTTCAGTGCCATTATGGTAACCTGCAGTTATAGACAAAACTGCATGGTGGGGCCTGCCTGAAAGGAACATGAAATCTCCTTATCTTCTTTGATAATTGTTCAACTCTGACAATCAAACCCATTCCTGATCTTTCAGTAACTCTGGTACTGGTAACCTGCAGTTATAGACAAGGCTGTAAGGTGGTGTTTTACACGAAAAAACATGTTGATCATTGTACTACTTGGAGTTTTATGCAGTTCACTTAAATCACCATTTCAGTAACTCTGGCACCAGTGCGGTCAGTTGTTCTCACAAGGCTGGTGCAGGGTTCTTATACCCTCTGGAGAGGGGTTTCATCTACGTGCACAAGCCGCCAATCCACCTCCGCTTCGACGAGATCTCGTGCGTGAACTTCGCTCGAGGCGTTGCCAGCAACAGGACGTTTGACTTCGAGATCGAGACCAAGTCTGGAACCACCTACACCTTCAGCAGTATTGAGAAGTGAGTTTCACGCAAGTTCTGTTTTGTCATTGAGAACCGTGTACACAGAATTCAGTCATGTCACTTTGTCACATTGTTTGACATTCTCATATTTTTCTGCTACAGGGAGGAGTATGGCAAACTGTTTGACTTCACCACCAATAAAAAACTGCGAGTCAAGAACAGAGGAAAGAACCTGGTGAGTAGACTGTCGATCGGGAAAAGTTTTAATTTTCTATCGTAAAAAGTTTCCATCATAGCTTCCCATTGTAATTACTTCAGGGTACAGAAGTATTGTTTTGGGTGGCTGAGCTATGGGTTTGTGTATCTCTTTTTAGTGAGTAGCTGTAGGTTGACAGCATGTGTGTGTGTGGTAAGATTGACAGGCAGAATGTTTTGAGGTGAATGGTCTCAGAATCTTACAAGCAGCAGGAGTCTGAGGTTTACATAAGTGAATTCAGGAAGTCTAAAGCAGAGGATGGGCAGGCACAAACGTAATGAAAATTTAATGATATAATCATATTTATAATATTTCTTATGTTTACTGGTATGACATGTCAAATTAAATGCATGTATTTTTTCTCTCATGCAAATTCACTAATCCAGCTCAACCAGTTGGTGAGTTGATGTTGATTTATTGAAATGCAGCTTGGCAAAAGGTGGCTTGCATTGTAGAAAACTGCCAGCAAATCCATAATGGCAAGTTACAATGTATACAGCATGATAGCTTTATAGATGCTACTAAATGATAAAACTCATAGTTAAATGTGCACATTGTGGTATGGCTGTATGCAACTGCACATCTAAACATGCCAAGATGTAACATGCTAACTAACATAGGTTACATGATGACTAAGATCTTCAAAAGATATTGTTAAATAAATCACTCTAATGAATTGTGTCAAAAAGACCAAGTTATGACTGGCATTTTAATAAACAAAAAATTGTAGGAACTCCAGGTATTACTTTGGCAAATGCTAACAAGTTACAGCTGTTTTAGAAATAAATCGGAATCTTCAAATTCAGATATTTGATTACAATCTACTTAAGAATAATACAAAGTACCCACTATGCTACTTTTTTCATAAAAATATTTTACCAAAGTGCTGTTTTTGCCATTTTTTGCAGGCTCCTTAAAACACTTGCTACTTACCAAAATCAGCACTTACAATTGTACCTTTCAAACCAATGAGTCCTCCAAATTCCCACAGCATCTAATACAACGTAAATAGTTGCTCATTGGCTGATGAAAATGTTTTCCACAGAAGGACAGTGTGAACTATGATGAGGACATGATGGGCAGTGATGATGAGGGTCAGCATGATGCCTACATGGAGAGGGTGAAGGCAGAGGCAGCCGAGGGCATCAGTGATGAGGACGAGTCTTCTGATGATGGTAGGATCAGCAAATATTTCCATAGATACTTTGATCCTTCTAACAGTGTGAGAACGGGTTTTCTGTGTGTGTAGAATTTAAATGTGAAGAACTTGTGAAGTTGTGTGTAAAAAGCCCAAGAAATAGGTCAGAAAAGGTGCAGTACAAATTCTTACAGAAAAATTTGATTATGTGATGTGATTTTTCATATGATAACCTGGATTTTTTGTGTGAAAAACTTGATTTTAGGTCCTTTGGGAATAGGTTGATTTGCATATCTTCCATGAAACCTTAATGTTTGAAATTCAGGTTGAATTAGTCATGAAAATGTGACTAGTATAGGGTTTTGTATTGTAAACTGTAGGCTTTTCTCCATTCTAGAACCTTGGTTTCATATTTTCTCAAACAGATTCTTTCACACGCACTTGTACATGAAAACCTTTGAAAATCACCTAAGATTACTGAAAAATTGACAAAACAAAACCCCTAACCTTCCTGTTATGTAGAAGAGGAGGATGCAGACTTTAACCCAGACGGCAGCGGGAGTGACATCGCGGAGGAGTACGACAGTAACGCCTCCATCTCCTCCAGCGATGATGATGAGGAGGATGAGGAGAAGAAGGAGCGCAGGAAGAAGAAACTGGAGAAGGCCAAGAACAAACCTGCTAAGAGAAGGAAGGCATCAGTGCGTAACGAAGATGTTTTTGTTACAAATGTATTTTGAAACAGCATACGGGATTTTGAGTTTGATTTTCAACAACTTTAAGTCTATCATAATGGAGAACAATTCATGATCTTGTATACTGTTTGTTACTTGAGATATCATTTTACTTCGATTGAAATCTGTTGGGCTCTATGTACAATGTTTACATTTTCTGAAGTTTTTTCTAACATAGCGAATTGAATCTCATGTTACCCAATACCACCATTTGCATATCAATCCATAGTTCTTGCTACTAAACCTTCTGCACAAGTTCTCTAGTGTCACTGACAAAAGGTAGTGGATGCTACATGAAACGTCTGACCGTTTCCAAAGTCATATCCAGTTGCTTGAGTAACTTTTTTTTGACACATGGTCTCAAAAGTTACGTACATTGATAAAATGCATGATTTTACAGGACGGAGGAAGGAAGCGTAAGAAGAGGCAGAAGAAAGACCCTAATGCCCCAAAGAAGGCCATGACGGCGTTCATGATCTGGCTCAACGCCACCAGGAGCGATCTGCGCAAGGAAAATCCCGACGCTAGCATCGGCGAGATCGGGAAAATCGCTGGAGAGAAATGGAGAGAGATGGGTCCATCAGACAAAGAGGTCAGTAGAATGTCTTGCATCAATCCTAAATTTAGGGAAAAAAACTGTAGGAAAAAAGTATGCAAAAAGAACGAATAAAAAAAATTGTTATTGCTTGCATGGTAGATGGGATTGTAATAATAGAAGATATGCAGTGCAATAAATACCTACCAAAAAAGTTTTTGAGATTGCAGAATAAAAATAAAAATTACTTTCATAAACAACTTGCAACTTTTCATTAACCCGAGAAAAATTTACCTTCAGTATTACCAATAACAGGTACTATACACCAGTATTTGAGTCTAGGTTTTGGCAGTATTTGGTGGAAACTGTTGCTGAACAAGCAGTATGACAATGTTGTGTACAGGAATGGGAGCAGAAGGCAAAGGAAGACAAGGAGCGCTACAAGGCAGCCATGGAGGAATACGAGGCCAGGAAGGCAGAGGAGGGCAGCAGTGGGGGGGAAGAGAGCGACCAGTCGGAGAAAAAGAAGAGGTGTGGAATATAATCATTTTAGTACATGTAGTAGCAGCAGTAGCAGTAGTAGTACTAGTAGTAGTAGTAATAGTAGTAGCAGTAACAGTCGCAGTAGCAGTAGTTAGTAGTAGTTACTGTAGTAGTAGTAGTAGTAGTAGTAGTAGCAGTAGTAGTAGTAGTAGTAGTTTAAGTAGCAGCAGTAGCAGTAGTAGAAGTAGTAGTAGTAGCATGCCTCTTAAACATCACAAGGTTGTGGTTTTAGGGCCACTGTTTTGGCGAACAATGTGCACATTTACCTATTTGAAGTGTGCTGTAATTTGATTGCATGCCATCAATTTCAATTGGCTCCATCAGTAAATTGCAGTGAATTAAATTACCGCGGAAGCTTTGTTCACAACCGAAAAGTGTCCAACAAATACATTTGTATGTTGTGAGGCAAGTCTGTCACCAGGCTAGTGTGCATGTGATTTATTGTGTCTTGTCAAAATGGTGTTCTGTCCATTATTATAGTACAGTCCTCAAATTCTTTACTATTTTTACCAACTTAGACTGTACAACCTGTTTGAACGTGACAATACAACATTCGTTTTTTATGTGAGGAGTGGAAGAGTACTACATGTATTAGACAAGACAAGAATAGATGTCAGTTTAAATTAATTGTCCAGTTGCACAATGAATGCCTCTGTTTTGTTGTTTTTCTCAGTCTCACAAACAAAATTTACACTCTTACACTGAGGCACCAAGTTTACAACATAAAATTACATGGTACAATATGTTTCCAATATATGTGTACAAACCTTTTCTTATTGTTCTCAGTAAAAAGAGCAGGTCCAGTCGACCCAAGCCCAGCCCCACCAAAAGCCCAAGTAAGGCCGGCTCAGGGGCTAACTACAAGAGTAAGGAGTACATCAGTAGTGACAGCGACAGTGACTCCAGTAACAGTGACAGTGACAGTGAGGAGAAGGAGAAGAAGTCAAAGAAGAAAGGAAAGAAGGCCAAGAAGGTATGTCTAGCTTTTTGTGTTATGGCCTAGGTTTTCATCTACTGAGAGAACCAGACCGGCAAGAAAACTTTGATCTGACTAAGGTATATTCACTCCCCCAAACTGGGCATAATAGTAAGATACAAAGTGTTCCCCTCAAACTGTGTTTTGAATTTGAACTTCCAGTTTAGCATTATTTAAGTTCATGTATGAGAAGTACCAAATTATATTGGCTTTACCTTAACCTCCTCCATGCTGAAATAGCCTTTTGGTACCAGATCATATTACAGGGTTAGGTAGCAGGGAGAAGGTTAAAAAAAGACTTAGTACTCTAGGTTAAAAAGGGACTTTGAAAAAACAATGTAGGCAGCTAGGACAAACTAATACAACTCTTTCATGTTTTATTTTACTGATGAAGATGTGCAGTCTTTTTTTTTTCAAAATTATTATATTTTTTTCATCTATAGAAGTCAGAAGATGAAGAAGAGGAGCCCATAGCCAGCACACCGCCGGAGTCAGAGGAGTCAGCATCTGGTGGAGAGGAGGAGGATGAAGATGATGACTGAAGTGATGCTTCCTGCACATTCCCAGAACCTAGAGGTTTGACTAAGTAGCCAGTTTCTTCAGTGTGGTATTTTTACTTTCAAAACTGATGTACAAACTAGTTAATGACACCATCAGCTAGCTGGTACTGGGTGGAGATGGAGATTTGAAAAATGTCCACATTTCAAAGTAATGGTGTCAGTTGGTACAGTCGTGTATGGTTTGGCAAACTGTTGGTCTCAATGAAATTGCTCAGACTTTTCCTCAGTATTCATGCTGTACAATGCTACAAAGTAGACATAAAAATGGGATTTAAGTAACAAAAAGCTATTTCTTTTCTCACTTGTCTGTGATGTCAGCGGCACACAAGAATGAGCATTTTCAATCGCATTGGTAAACAGAGAGGCTAAAGATATATTTGTCTATCTGTGTCTGGTGACAAAAAAGTAACACTTTTGTGTATAGATGTTTGCTTCCAAATCTGTTTTAGAATAATCATACAATTATGATCAATGTCAAGACTCAAACAAAACTAAAAGCCCTTACTTGTGTATGCTGAAGAGAAAGTAAGAAAACAAGTCTACGCCTCAGAAAAGTGAACAATGTCATGTATAGAGTGATCAACTTATCCATAGATAGTACGGAGATTGCTGTAACACCATGGTATGATTTTAATGACAGAATAAAGTAAGACTTTTGTCCAAAATCTGTCCTTGTCTGTCTCTTAAAAATGTAGGATATGAGTAAAAGTTGCAATCATAAGTTTTTGTCCCAGCCTTCTGTTCTAACCTAAACCTCTTAGTACTAAATTTCTATTTCACAATGTCAAACCAGGCAGATATTTTGGCCTGGCCTAATAGGTATTTTCTTGCCTTGGGCATGGAAATCTTCAGATATTCAGTTACCATGTAGAGTTAGGACAACATCCCAGTTTAAATCAGGTAACTTGTTAGTTTTAAAGAAAAATTGAGGGAAAACCATTGATAGATTTCTAGACTTCGATATGATGAGGGTTTTGGACCACACCCATTGCAGACAATGTTTTTCCCACGTGAGGTGACAGTTAATACCTGATAATTAGTGTGTGAATCACTCGATCTTTGGGTGTGGCCCCCCTGTATGGCCTAAATCTATATAGACAGGGCTGGCCTATATTTCTGATAAGGACTTAAAAAAGAAAAAGCAGACAGACATAAAAAAGGTTTGAACCATTTGATAAAGGAGAAGATGTAAATGGTCAAACAACACAACTGAAGCACACAAGTATCCATTTGGCTAGTACCATTTCTCAAATGGCATAGGCAGCACAGAGAAGACTAATGCAGTGTACAAGTATATCAGTCTATAGCTGATATCATCACTGTATAGACATGGGTAATACCCACTCGTGCCTATCTAGTCTTCCTAGTATTTGATTCAAGACACCTTTGAACTTATTCGAAATTCCACACGTTCCAAACATTCTATAGTTCTGACTGCCACTGTTTACACCAATCTTACTGGACTCTTTCTTCACTTTATTTTCATAACCCAAGGGTCAAATTCTTCCTGAGTGAAGAACTCTTCAGTCACAAGTGAGAATGAATAATTAGCTTGCTTGAAACATTGTGTAACAGCCTATCTTCCTTGCCTATTATGAGGATATGGTGTGAGTTAACCCAAAGAATCACTTCCTGTTACAGCAATACAATGGTTTTTAGATTTCTAGCCATGACACATAAAGGGTTAAAGAATACCTGTTGCATGTTTTGAGGTGAAACACCGAGATTTTTGAAGCAGATGCATGCAAGAATTTGTAAGAAATTTTAAGTATGTCTAGCAATGTAATGAAAGGTTAAGGTACTTTCACCACAGAATACCCATCCAAAGTACAAAGGAGACTTGGAGTAATGAAGGATTTTGTATTGATTCTTAAAGAAAATATAAGAGGATAAAAGAGATAGGCAACTCGGTACCTCTTCATCCTGACATTAGATTGACAACCAGTCCCTAACACTGCAACTTCTAATAGTAATACATGTACAAATGTGTTTGTGTGCAATGGTACATACATTGTGAGAATTATACTAGTACTAAGTACACAATGTTTTATACATGTATCTAGTTCTGTTGAACGCGTTTGGCAATACGCCCTTACAAGGGGCTTTAGGGAAACAACACAACACTGACTCTTGAAGATGTGCCAAGTGTTTTGATGCATTGTCAGCTCGGTCATGCGAATAGAATGTCTCTGGCATTTTACGGGTAGTAACTTGTCTTTGCTGTCTTCTGTACAGTCAACTTGAGGGTTATTTTTAGCTTGAAGTTGAAAGTCTAACACGGACACTAACCAATGTTGTTTTGAACACTCCTAGATGTATCTGATGTGAAAGCCATCAAATTTATCCCTCAAAATTTGTCGCAAGTAAAAGTCTTCTAGAAAGTGATTGCTGGTTATTATATGTTGCCAGTATTACAGTAATTATTGAAGGAAAGGGTAAACAAAATAGAATCTTTCAAAGAAAATCTCCTTTTCTACAGACAATTTCATAGGTACTGTTACTGTTAGAAGTTACTTTTTTTCCAATAATGTTCTACATGTGCTGATATTCACATCTTTCCTACAAGGAATTTTGGATGACATCTCCATGAAAGAAAGGTTGATGACTGTCATCTTGCTCCCCAGTGTGACACCCACTAATTGGATTAACCATCACTTCCTGCCCCTAAAATACCAGGTATTTTATACTTTAAAAAAAATTAGGACACACCATTCCATCATGATGCAGTCACACACACACATACACAGGTACAACACGCTAACCACGCCCTGTTTATTTTTCCAGAGTTCCACACGTCTGCTCATGTTGATGCTCCTGGGGTAGAAAAGAATTCCAGGACTCTGAGTTTTTACCTTGGGGCAGTTTGCCAATCATTCGTACCTTTGTGTTGACAAAGATGGGTCTCGAGATTTGAGGACATGTTGTCTTATCATGCTCCATTTTTATACTGCCTACAATGTTACTGCACTAGGATGTGTAGTTGCGATAGATTATTTTTCAACTGATCTTCACTTGCACACCGTTGGTTACTGTGATTGTGGTTGGAAACGAACAATTGTAGGGAGGATTCAGAACAGGTTCCCCCAGAAGAAGCTGACCCCAGGAATTACAAATGTTTGGAATTCCGCACGTATTGTGGTGTATGCAAATGAGGCGGTCTGACCACCTGTGCTTCCCTGTGCTGGGGCCATTTATGCACCAGTCTGTCAGTAAGGTGGGGTGTGTCCCTGCAAGCGGCCTTCCCCTGCGCAACCTGCACCTGTGTCGCCTGAACTTAAGCCTCAAACAGGTGAGTGAAACTTTTCTGTACTGTCAGCAGTTTGAAAATGATGTAAAAATTTGTCTGACATGGTTGTTGTAAGTTGAAAATGTAAGAATTGTCCAGTTTAGGACTTTTTGAAAAAAACCTGTTTGCCAATTTGGGTCACAGTTTATTAATAGACAGCTTCAAAACACATGTGCACGAAGAACCACCTGTCCAATAGATGTCTTCCTGAATTATGACAAAATGAATCCTGAATTATGGAAAGTAACTTTGAAATATATTTTTGAAGCTTTGTTAGAGATTGCTTTTCATTTTCTGTCAATATGGTAAAAGTTGAACGCATTGTTTTCATTATTTATGAACTTTAAAAGATAGTAAATTTTGATGAACTCAATTAGTCCAATGTCTCTTTGGTAAGAATTTTTGATGTTTTTGGTGAGAAAAAAGGTGGTAAGTTTAGAAGATTATACTTCTTGTGACTGATTGCTACTGTTTGCAATGTAGAACTGAAAGTTGTCTAACATCTCATTATCTTCTGCATTGATTATATGTCTTTGTTTTCTGAGTAGTGCTTGGCTTGTTTTCAATACAGCACTCACACGTAACCCAGTTTTGTGAGGATTTTTAGCTCAACAACTGAAACAATGTTATGGCAACTTTGTGTTAAAAAGTTTAAATCTTTGTGAAGATGAGTCCCATTTCAATCCTATTGGTATTTACTTTGGATTGCCCGAGAAAACAAGTGTATGTACTGTGGACCATCAGACCATAATTATCTGGTGTCAAAAAGACAGATTTGATCTGTCTGTTGTCTTTTCTTTTTTCACAAATCTCTTTATCTCTGAGGAATGTGTGCATTTTTGTAGGAAGTTCCAATCAATCAATCCCTTACTTTGTTTAGGAAAATTCCAGAAAAAATAGGTTGATGGGGAGATATACATGTACAGTAAAAAAGCTACATGTACATGTACAGGGCATTGTTACAATTATGGAAGTATCTCCTACATGTTGTTTTGTGTTTTGTAGAGCATAAAATGCACCTAGAGCCTTACTTTAAGTCAAGGACATTGTGGACAATGTTGATGTGTAAATACAAGATGACGCTTGAGTATGTGACTTTGTTTATGCACCCAGTCTGGTGACTTTGTTTTGAAGGAGCTCCAAGCTCTGACAAAAAGTGTAAATGATGAATTACCCTTTTTCTTTTAAATGGGTCACTTATTCCAAGTCCTATTTGCTGCATTTAAAGAATTTTATTTTCTATCAGAAATACTGATACTACTAGTAGTAGGTCCAATCTGTCATTTTCAATGCCTAAAGTTCTACAAACCAGTTCTATTTTAGTCATCATAGACATTATAGAGGACTGCACTCCCTGTAGGAAACTATTTTCATTTGTATGTCGTACAAGACTTTGTGACAGTAACTAGTCTTAAAAACATATTGTACCAAAAATGTACACTGTTCTAGCCTGGATGCATGTTTGGCAGTCGGTAATCGAGACCCAGTTGATCAGAAAAAAGAAACATTTTCTAACTTGATTCTAGGCTCTTGGGCCTGGCACCCAGGCTAAAGATGTCTCCACAGCACGTCGGCAGAATGTACTGCACCTGCGCGAAACCCGTAATGTATTGTACATAGCATTTCGGCAGAACGTCTCATATAAGGTTGTATTCCTTCATATAAGGTTAGCATTTTGACAGTAGTTTCCAAATTTTGTGTCGGAAAGAATATCCTCTGCAACAGGCAAAATTCTAATGCAACGTTGACCAAAAACCCAACGAAAAACGCGAAAATACGGGGTTCTGCGCAGGCGCAGTACGTCTGTCGACGTGCTTGTCTCCACAGGGAAGAAAAACCACTTGGATACAATGAAGGGCCGATGAACAGGTGGTTCTGAAGCATTCAGTTCCTAAATGTTATTGTAGTAGTAGATGACACACACTTTCTTCAAATACTCGCAGTGTAGTGAAATAGAGTTATGCCAAGTATTTAGACTCAACAGGATTTGAAGAATTCCAGAATTTCTCATGGTAATTATATTGCTCACCTTTACTGTGGAGTTATGCATTTATATAAACATAAAAGTATGGATAAAACTTGAGTCACGTCCGGTGTGTCCTAAAAACCAGAGGAAGTTATTCGATGTGCCTTTAGGACCCATTTCATGTCCTTTTGCCCAGCAGATGTTCTGGAAAGCGTGTTTTTGTGCTAAGCCTTGTGGCTATACAGGACAGGTCACTTTAAAACAATTCCCCAGAGGGGCCTTCATTCTAGCCAGCATAGCATGTCCGCATACCCCATGCCTTTGTCATGCCAGCCCAATGGTTACTCACCTATGCTTGTCAACAGTAACTATGCCCTTGCCCTAAAATTGTAGGTTTTTATGAAATGGAATGAAAGTTTTCTAGCTTAGAAGTTATGTAAAGTCAGCACTAGTGTTCCTGACCTTTTTTTATGTCAAACAAAAAGTTGTTTGCCAGCTTCTGTAGGGGCGAAACAAAGTTCTTTCTTTTGCTGAAAGCTTTTCGCTAAAAATCCTTTTCAAATCCCTACAAAAATATAACCTTGTTCACCTACAAACCAAGCAACGCTGACAACCAGCGGCACCAAGACAAAACATTCTCCTTTCTTAGAAGTCTGTATTCACAACAGCTGTGTAGTCCACGGCATAGTTCAGGAAACCATTACGTGTAGGACCAGGTATTTTTCTCTTTGAACTTCTCTGGCATCTCCACCTGTGTTTACATTCAAACATCCCAGATAACTGAACTGTCACCGTGAACATCTTTTCAGCTTGAGTCTTAAATATTTAGGAGACTCCTGTTACATTGTAATTGCCAATTTTGATGTTACACCTAAGTGTCTAGTACACTGTCTACATTTTAACAGTTGTGAATCATAAGCTAGAGTTTATCAGCTTTGAAATTTGGAGTAAATTTCAATCTTTACTATTAAGATAATTTTATTTTTTCTTCTGACAGTGATACAGAAGAGGGGCACTGTACAACTGGAGGGTTAAGATGAGTGTTTTCGGCATGGATGAACAGCTCCGAATAGAGCAACAGGTAAGGATCTACACTACTGTAACAGGTTTCCAAATTCTTGACCGATTGTTATGCATAGAAAATTGTTAGCAGACAGTATAACATTGCCAGGAAATTGTATATAGGTTTCAGCTTTGATATTGTCTTTTAAGCAAGCTGGTAATAAAGAAATTCTTCTTCCACTTTGAATGAGAGTGAGGAAAGGTGTTTTGCTATACCTCTAGAAAAATTAGATCACCATTACATGTCATTTTTACACCTTTCCTCTCTTGCCCCTCCAATTATGGTTGTTTGTCTCAGTGTAACAGTTGTCATTCATAACAATGGTTCTATCTGGTGTGGTCTGATAGACTTCTGCCACAGTGAGAGATTATACCACCTGTACATGTATATAATTTAGGTAGCAATCAAGTCGGCTCTAGGGCACTTTCAACACATATTTCTCACCATTAGTTTTGTAATTGGACAGTGAAATCGTTAATGTTTTTTTAATGGTTATGACCTTTTTGTTTTGTTATTTCAGAAGACAGACACAGGTGTAGTATCTTCAGTGAATGGTTGGATGAACAATGGCCTGCCAACGGGGGAGCAGGAGCCAGTAAAGTACAACAAGGATGGAAGGCTGGTGTTGGATGAGCAAGAAGTTGTCTGTGAGGATGGGCGAATGGTAGGTAACCTGTATGTAGTAGTAGTTTTAGTAGTACAGCTGAATGCATAAAAACTAGATTTAACACTTTTCTTGCATTGAAATTTACAAGTAAAAGAACTAACCACTAGAACTTTTTTTGAAGTACAGTGTACAGTGTACAAGTCAGGCAGTCATGACTTCCTGACTTGAACATAGTTGACATACTAAAAGCATATTTTAAACAGATTTGAATCTCATGATTTGCATAGATTTCAATACTTCTTTTCACCCAGTAAGTCTTGTATATTGCATTATATATGTTAAGAAATATGATAATGATATGAGATTAATGAAATATCTGCGCCACATGCAGGTACTGGAGAAATGTCTGCAGGATGAAGTTATGGAAGTGGAGGATTTGGGGCATTTACTGAAAAAGCCGCCCAAAGTACAGGTAAGATCCAATACATCAAATATATTGTGTATCAAATGCTGAGGAAACATGGGAGGAAACAAAGTAATTGAAAACATGTAGAAGTAAGAATATGTGTAATAAGAATGTGCATTATTGTATGCTGTGCAGTTAATGTAGCACTGTGATCATTTTGATGAGTGTGCTTTAGGTCATAATACACGTAGATGTAACAATGAGATCTCTATTTCATGTCACCTACATGTAACATCATTGTATATTTTTGTTTACTTCACAGAAGAAAGAAGAGCCTGTTATAAAACAAGAAGAGGTAAGCCTGATACTAAATCTTAAAGTTAAACTTTTAGCTACATTTTCAACTTGCATACTGATTTCTATGCACATATATCAGATGAGTCTGTTTCCATGGAATGTTTCAGCAAAATGATATACATTTATAGATGTAGACTGGCTGTTATATATATGATGGTGTATTTGTGAAACTAACAGTGGCCTTACCCTTTTTTCAGGAGGTCAAGCCAAGAGGAGGTGGTATGAGGATCATTATCAAGGGACCATTCAAGGTCAAGCACACTGCCCCATCCTTCATCAAGGAAAAGAAGCCAACAGTTCAAGAAGCTCCACCGGTAGAGACACTTGACTTGGATTTAAGACGCAAGTTGGTGTGGGAGGTGGATGGGCAACCTCTTGAGTTAGAGGTGCCAAAGGGGTCAGAGGTCAACGTGTCAGGGTCAGAGTTCAGACCACTGTGGGGAGGTCAGGAATCGGTGGAAGATGTCTCGGGATTGTCTCAGGCAAAATCAGGTGTTAGAGATGGTATTAGGTCCCAGTTTGAGGTGAGCCAGTAAAATTACTGGAAGTATTGCATGAGCAATAACATCATCACCATCATCTGCAGAGTGCCAGGGATGTTTCTGCATTCACCGACATTCACCCTGGCAAAAAACATGGCAACGCATTGAGAGCACTAATTTCTGCTCACATTGGCATGGCATTTTAGGCAGCATGGCATGATAAGAGCATGACCTTCTCAGCAAACCATCAGTGCTGTTATGTTACTACATGTACAATACTGGATCTACTGTCTGTAAGCTTTTCAGTAATTGGTGATGTAGCATTTACTGCATGTTACTGCATGCAGTAGCATTGTTACTGGGGAGTGTACCGTACTATACTCTCCCAAATAATTCTGTTAAATGTTTAACAGTTGTTACCGGCATGGTCACATTTGTTACATGTCTTGTTTTTTTGTAAGGATTTTCAGCAAGGCTATGGCAGTGCCCACCCTCGACATGGATCTACAGAAACCTTTTTTTCATCGCATGACAGCAAATTTTGTATGACACATCTGTGACTGATGCGAGAATGCCCTCAATTTGCTGTAACAGTTGTAAATCTATGACACCACAAATGTGGGCAGGCCCTTAAACGTACAATGTACACTGAAATGCTACTGTTCAATTACTAATTTGTACCGTCAGATGTACACTGCATGTGTTTTTCCCCTTTCTCTAATAATTGCAGTCTTCAATTTTTGTTAACTGCTTGATATAGTGTTTGATTACTGATTTGTTACTGATGCATTACTAGTAACTTAATGATTCATAACTGTGCAGTTACTGTTACAGTAACATGACACTGTTAATAACAGTACTGATGGTTTGTTCAGGAATTTGACTCCATGAAGCATGAGAGTCAAAGCATGAATTGTTACAGCCGTGCATGTACATGTGGAAATTTTCCATCAGCCATGCTTAAAAATGTAATGTAACAGTTACTAGTACATCAGCTTGTTGATCACTGACAATTTGCCTGCGATACTGAGACTTCTTGCACTGACACCTGAGATGCACAATGTGCATGTATAACACTATTTACTGCAGTAACCCATTTACAAAGCAAGTAAGCAAGCCATTTACAAAACCTGACAATATGCTGACCAAATCAATGTAAAGGGAGGATAGATGCCTATCCCATATTGCTTGTTGCCTGGTGTACAGAAGGAGAGTTTGGCTGTTCTGAAGTAAAAAGTCTGAATATGACATAAATGCTCAGTAATACCTCTTTGGAGGAAATGACTGAATCAACTGTAAAATTGTGGGATAGGCCCTTTCCACCTATGTCATCACAACCTTAACGCTGACCCCTAATTCTCACTTTCAAACCCTAACGCCAATCTTTCCTGACCAAAACATTATGATCAACAATCTCCATGTTCAATCTGTTTTCCCAGGTTGTGGAGGAAGCAGAAGACTCGGGTGTTGAGACCACCCCCACCCACCAGCCCAAAAAGCACAAGCTGACTCTCCTGAGTTATGAGCAGGAGGAGACGCTGAAGTGGGCCATGGGGACTGTGCGCATGCCGCCTTATGACATCGCAAGCTGGCAGCACACAGATCCGCTCCACAGGGCCACAGAATCTGTCACCAGGAGCGAAGAGGCTCAGCAGCAGGTCAGTAGAGCTGAAGAGAAAGTGGTAAAAACCCCACTGGAAGAAGTCAAGGGGGTACCAACTAACACGCCGTATTCAAAACCGTCTTATGATACCGTAGGACAAGACGGTTACAAAGCCCTAACACACGTGGTCCCCAGCATGCAAGCAGTGAAGCTCGATACAGCCGAAGAGAAAGAAGTAAAAACGCCATTGGAAGAAGTCAAGGGGGTACCAACTAGCACGACATATACAAAACCGTCTTACAATATGGTAGGACAAGACCGCTACAAAGCGCTAACTCGCACGGTCCCCAGCATGCAAGCAGTGAAACTCAATACCGCCGAAGAGAAAGAAGTAAAAACGCCATTGGAAGAAGTCAAGGGGGTACCAACTAACACAACGTATACAAAACCGTCTTACAATATGGTAGGACAAGACCGCTACAAAGCCCTAACTCGCATGGTCCCCAGCATGCAAGCAGTGAAACTCGATACCGCACAGGAGAAAGAAGTAAAGACGTCATTAGATGAAGTGCAGGGGTTAGTCCCAAAGATAGCATACTCAACACCATGTTATCATACAGTAAGGCAAGACCGCTACAAAGCCTATTCCAACCTGGTCCCCAGCGCAGAAGCACCTAGTATCAAGCTTAACAAGGGCAAAGAGCAAAAGGCACATCTGCGCCTAGTCATGAAAGGTGGCGACTTGGCTCCCATCAGTTGGCACAAGGCAGCAGTCGCTGCTGTAACACAAGAATACGTCAAAGCAAAATACTCCCAGGTCCCCAGTAACCAGCCCATTCATATTGCCAAAATACAAAGTGCCATCTCTGACCTCGAGTCCATAGAAACGCATGTTGAGATTGCTTGGAACACAGTAAAACCAGTGTCGACAAATCATCAATATTCGAAGGCAAAATTCTCCTTCACAAAAAGTAATTCCCCAGTATTCTTTGCTGACACTCAGACAGCTGAAACAAAACTCGAAAAATCAAAAGTTCAGGCTGATCTTGATTGGGTTAAACCAGAGTTGATTCCAGTAGCACCACATTACTACAAGACCAAATCACGGTCTGCTAAGAGTCAAGACCCCCTTTATTCTGGAATACAAGAAAGCATGATCACTGTTCCTCAGTCTGTTGATGACCTGGCCCCCATTCAAAAGGAAAAAGCAAACGTTGTTGATGTAAGCCACAAGTACGAAAAAGCAAAATCATCCCAAGTTTCAAGTAACTTGCCCTTGCACAATGCAAAATTGGGAAGTACAGATGCTGTGGCTGAATCTGTAAATGACGAAGTGAAGACGGCACAGTACAGCAAACCAGAATATGAAAAGGTGCAACAAGTAGTTTTGAAGCATAATACTAATGTTGTGGCCTCAAACACTGCTCAGTACCAACAAGGAAACCAGAAGACCCTTCATCTTGCCGAAGACGAAGTTGAGGGCATCATCGAACCGTTCAGAGCAAGAGGCTGCAAGTTCGAGACAGTTCCGCAACCATACGACGAGGCAGTGAAGTATGAAATTACTCCCTCACAGAAACCCACCTATCAAGCTAAGAGTCAGGACTTGATTCTTAAAACGGAGGTTGTGAAGGAAAACACAGATAAAGTTGAATTCCACAAGCCCGCCGTAGAGCTCACAGGACAAACATTGTTCAGCCATGACACAGCCATTACAAAGTCAGGGCAACCAAGTTACCATCAAGCAAAGAAGAGTCATTTGATTCTGACAACAGAGGTTGCAAAGGAAAGTACAGATGAAGTTGACTTCCACAAGCCTACTGTAGCACACACAGATCAGAAGTTGTTGAGCCATGACACAGCCGTCACAAAGTCAGGGAAACCAACTTACCATGAGGCCAAGAAGAATCATTCAATTCTCACAACAGAATATACAAAGGAAATCACAGATCGTGTTGAATTCCACAAGGCTGCTGTGGAGCTCTCTGTAGTGAAGCTGTTCCGCCACAACACAGCTATCACAAAGTCCAAATGGCGGTACTTTGGGGTCCGAGAGGGACGGATTACACTGCAAACTGAGGGTGTGCACGGTTTGGATACTAACGTTAAGTACGAAACTGCCAATGTACGGAAGGTAGAGCAAGAATTACACACAGCAAACAAGGACGAAGTCCTCGTGGAAACAGCAGACTACTTCCACACAAAACCCCACAGGGCTGCAGTACCGCCTTTAGAAACGCTGGGAGTTGTGGAACCTCTTACCTACGAGACAGCAAGTGTGCAGAATGTCGAGGCAGTTTTCGCAAAAGCTGACCAGGGAGAGGTGACTGTTGAAGCTCCTGAATACCATACTGCCATTACAAACTCAAAATTCCTGACTTTGTCAGAAACAAAGGAAGATGTCACTGAGATCAAATATGATACCGTTACCCCACAGACCGTAAGTGAAGAACCCTTGCACAACGTCATTGTTGGTGAAGGCAAAAGTGAGTGGCATTGGCTACATGCCGAAGAAGGTGAGTTAGAGGAACTGACGTTCGAGAAGACAAGAAAGCTGAAACCGCCAATCATTGAATCAGCTGTGCGAGAAATTGTCGACCCCCAACTGGAAATGCCGCGTCCAGTATTCATCACAAATCAGGCAGCGGTTCAAGCCCCTCTGCCTACCTTCACGGCCAAGGAGGTGAACTCGCTGCCTGAATGGGAGACCTGTGAGACCTTCACAGTCGAGGAGGTGACACCAGTTCGAGCCAAGGCATCAGTAGCCGTGATGAACGTCTGTAGAGCCCAGGCTAGTCAGCCAAGGGTCCAGCTGGCAGAAGAAATGCCAATTGTGAAGGTCGATGCGGTCCAAGCCTTGTCTCCACCTCCTAAAACTCGCCCTGGCTTGTTCTATGTGAAACCCAAAGAGGTCCAACAGCCCCCTCTCGAAGAAGTGGGGACTATTGATGACTTGAACACTGAGTCAGCTAAGGTGAGCGAAGAAGAAACCCCCACACTCCACAAGGTCACGGTCACTCCGGTCAGCAAGCTAAAGCTAGAGCTTCCCAAGCTGGAGATAAGAGAGGAGGAAGAAACCATAACAGTGGATGATCTGGATCTCAGTCCCGTCACAGTCGTCTCTCCAAAGCCAACGCAAATACATGCCAAAATCGAGATGGAAGAACAGACAGAGGTTCCGAGTCAGATGCATGTGTCGCTGCCAGTCCTGCCTCGACCTCTGCTCAAACAGGCCAATGAGGATAGCTTGGAGGAAATACCACTTGGCAGCACACTGGAGATCCCAGAGTTGCCTTACCACAAGGCCAGGACATCCATGTGTCCCCTACTTACATCTCACAGGGCTGGTGCCATGAAGCTTCCCATACAGAGGGCTCCTCTGGGTTATAACCAGGACTGGCGGACTCTGAAGCGGCTGGAAGGACTGAGGGCCAGTCTGATGGTGAATGGAGAGACTGAGGCACCCTACATCAGCAGAACAAGCAGTGTGCAGTCCCTAAACAGCCAGATGTCCAACGATCTTGCATGGACGTATGCAGATGACAAGAAGCCAACCGAAAAAGAAGAAAAGAAAGAGCCATCAGCATCTCCGGAGAAGCCTTCTCCACCAAGACCAGGTTCACGCAAGCCTCTAGATGATAACACTTTCAAGGCACCAGAGGAAGAGCCAGATGCTCCAGTGCCTCCCAAAGATGAGCCAAAAGCTGCACCACCCAAGAAAGGTACTGCCATCCAAATGGTTCGTGAACTGCTCGGATTGCCTCCTAAAGGGAAGACTCAACCTGAGGCAAAACCAGCTGCCCCTGTCACCAAGGAAACACCTCCAGAACCTGTCGTCAAGGAAACGCCTGCCCCAGAACCTGTCGTCAAGGAAACGCCTGCCCCAGAACCTGTCATCAAGGAAACGCCTGCCCCAGAACCTGTCGTCAAGGAAACGCCTCCAGAGACTGTCGTCAAGGAAAGACCTGCCCCAGTTGTAAGCAGAGCACCAAAACCTGTCGTCAAGGAAATGCCTGCCCCAGAACCTCTCGTCAAGGAAATGCCTGCCCCAGAACCTGTCGTCAAGGAAATGCCTGCCCCAGAACCTGTCGTCAAGGAAACGCCTGCCCCAGAACCTGTCGTCAAGGAAACGCCTGCTCCAGAACCTGTCGTCAAGGAAACGCCTGCCCCAGAACCTGTCGTCAAGGAAACGTCTGCCCCAGTGAAGAAAGCTCCAGAACCCATCACCATTGGACCACCCTCAGCAGAGCTGCCAGAGCCTGTTGATTTGCCGACGACTCCCATCCCCTCATCAATGGTCGTACCATCAGGTCCACAGAAGTCTCCACCAGCTGCCAGCGCACAGCCAGGTAAGGCTACATTCCTGTTCCTCCAGTCTCATGTAAGGGAGAAATTAACAAGGACATCACAGATAATTAATATTTACCAGTTGTTACTGGTAACCCTTTTGCACTTAATCTATCCTTAAGATCATGGATATTTGTGCTTTTGTTAGCATCTTAATGATAGTGTCAGTTAAGTTTGCCTTAAGTACAAGTACAGCACACCAGTATGCTTAGCTAAACAGCTATACCATCATGGCCATATTCCATCATACATTTGTACCTTCTCTTGACTTAATTAATTAGTATTTAACATTTGAATCAGTTAGTAGCTACTGTGGGTTGCTATTAATTCACCATACACCACTTAGGGTGCTAGTAGATGTGAGTGTTGAGAGATGAAACTAATTGTTTATGTTTGTTTGTTTTTCCACTTTGCTGTCATTGCTGCATCATTCTGTTGTGTCCTGACACCCACTGCCTGTACTAACGTCTGGTCATATCATTGCTTCAGAAGCTGCTGCTGCCTCCTCCTCTCCACTAGGAGAGGTTTCTCTGACCTTTCTTGTACCCACTTCCTCTGGGATCAAAATTATCAAAACGTCATAGATTCAATGTTACACAAATTTTACATCCACTCATAACAACAAACTAACACAGACCAGAATATACATGTGTCCATTCATCTTTTTATTAAACAAATTCAAGCCCTTTCAGGGGGTGTTGGTACTAGTTTTTTGTTTATTGATATCAAGTGCTAATATTATAACTCTTGAAATCTAGGTGCAGAGCAATTGACAGTCAATACATATTATGAAAGATAAGAAAGGCATTAAAGAAATTACAACTGGAATGCAGTGTATATATTATGTATACCTAACCCTGCCAACTTTCTTGTAAATAGCATTAAACTTAATTTTAGGTAACTGGCAATCTAAAACAAAGGTATCCAAACTTCTCTAACAAATTTGACATATGATTAGGTTTTTTTTCAATTCAGACTGGCTTTGGACAAGCTTTTTTTATTAGCTGAGATACTAGTAAGTATGAAAACAGTCCGATGGTTTTTCAGTTTTTTTCAGACATATTCAATCCAAACCTCAATTTTGGCAAATTTTCCCTCAATCGACTTCCCCAACAAGCCACTAGACTATTGATACAACTGCAGTTCCTATGCAGACTTTAAGCTGCTGCTGCACAGTATATGCTACAGCATACTAGTCTTGCCACGGTGGCTTCCATGCCTACGCACAATTTGCTCTCTAGCTGCGCATGCGTGAAGCTTTGCTCTCAAGTCACAGATTGATACAAAACCCCTCATCATTGCTACCGGTTCAGTCAAGGCTTTAGAAGCTGGGAGACAACTGGCAGTATCATCTGGTATGTCAGTGCTAGTTTGAAGTACATGTATGATTTACAATATGAAAACCAGAGTGTTAGAAAGGTTTGATAAAGATACTTTTCACACAAATATTGATTCACAATTTGACAAACAATGCCCTATAACCACATGTAATGTTATGACATTAGATTTGTTCTCATACGATAAAAAAGTTGCCTGTACATTGTTCTCCATGTTTACTGTATATTTCTCTGTATGGAATTGTCCTAAAAATACTGATATTTTTCCTTTTATTTGATAGTTTCCTACTAATCTTTACTTAAAGTGACAATTGTAGTGGACAATGTTGCATGCATGCATGCAATATGATTCAAAGACTACTTAAGCAAGGAGTCTGAAATATTATGACAAGAAATCAACAATGATTCAAAAAGCCCACAGATAGCACAGGCCTCAGAGCAGTTTGCAACAGCTGGAATTTTCTCTCACACATAATAAAAGCAAAGGTCAATAGATTACAATTACTGAGACAAACCTTGCTTACAGAGAAACTTGGGTTCTGGGATAGTCTGAGGAGGGATCTGAAGAAGCCTACAGCAGCTGCTGCAGTACCGGACGATTCAACTACCAAGCCAACCGTTTCTGACAAACAATCTGAGTCTGACCCTGACTCAAATACGGTGAGTAAAGCATAAACAATTGTGTTTTACTACATTGCACTTCAGTGAATGTTTCTGACTCATCTAAGCTCATGTTTTAGTATGTTAGGACATTTGCTGAACACTCAAATAGTAAGGACATAGGCTTTACTATGTACTGAGGAATTCTATGTAGTTTGTTGGAACATAAATTATGTACAAGGACAATACTTTTAAACAATCAATTTTTGAATTAATACAATCAACTGAAGATGTTAGCTAAAGGCTAACTACTTCCATGTTAATGCCAGGTTCAAGTTAACATTTTATTATGTTAAATTGCAATTTTATAGCAGGAGGGATTAGGACTCCTGTCTGACCATAATATATATGAATGTGTTTGAGTAAGAATTAACAAAGCAGACCACAGGTGAAGGTAAACATTATGCATTTGCTTTGCAAATATTACCTTTCTAGTTTCTTTTCTGACTTCTGTTCTTCTTTAAACCCTATAGGCAAGTAAGCTTGGTCGATACCTGGGATTTTTCAAGAGGGACAGTGAGAGAGGGAGAGAGGAGAAGAAGGATGAGAAGTCTCCGAAAAGGTCCAGTCTGTTCAGCAGGGCACCAGCAGGATCATCAGAGCCACAGTAGGGCAGGTAGGTAAGTACAGATTCTATCATGAGTCAGGTCCTAGGTTTACTCCTAACACATGTCAGTAGAAGCTATGTTAGGGTACGTTTTTCTGAGACTAATACATGTAACATTATATGTGTAAAATGTTTACTACCGGTAAGCACATTGTACTGTCACAGGTTAGTTTTTGTACATAGTGTACACTTGATAATTATAGTGATAATACATTGTGTGATATAGAAATATAATCAACTGTAATTATGAATTGCAGTTATTACGTTCTCCTTACAACTTTCAATATGGTTTGTTGAGTGTTACTATTATATAATTGATAGATGCTATTTTATATAATTTGTCTTCTTAGACTACATTTCAATGTCTGTGATTTTAACTGCAAATTAATTTTTCATTTCTAGACTTGTGAGCTGAGGAAAAGTGAAGGCAAATAGAAGGAGGACCAAGGAAGGAAGAATGAAGGTTGACATTATTTTAATGTAAATATTTAGTCACCGCTGTCCTTTCAGATTTAATTTTATGTTTTGATACCAGTGTTGGTCTTATCTGTGAAAAACCTTTAATTTTAATGAAAGGTACAATCAGTAAGTTAGATCCCATTCATTTGATTGGTTTACAAGTATGTAACTTATAGTAATTGGCACACTTGGACCAATGCTGTGTTAGCAGACTTCTCATCACCTGGTGAAAGACCACTCATGTGTTAATACAATTAACTACCTCAAATACTCAATACTAATATTGTTGGTGGATTGATGGACATATTTGATAATAAGCCATGTTACATTAGGTCAGGTGTAATAAACTGAATGGATATATACAAATCTTATGTAATTAGTACTTGGGATATCAACTACTTGGAATTTCTATCTATAGTATGTTTAAAACAGATACTTTAAACTTTTAAGTTAGAATTACTTATCAACCGGCATGCTACAGCCATCTGTCTCATCCATTCTAGCTGCATCTTAAGGGGCAAAACTTCTGCTGGATCAGTATGCAGCTCACAAGCTAATTCAAAAGTTCTGACAAAATGACATGGACATCATTGGCCTTGTTCTTGTCAGATACTGGCACAATCAATTTTGATTACAACTTGCACCTTGAAACTTAGATTTGTTTTAACCACACTGAAAGGCCGACACTTTTTCTTACCCTAAATGTATGTCAGGACATATGGCACTGTTTCACTGTAATGCACCTTGCCACAGATAACTTTTCTGTCTAAACTGTCTTTGATGTAATTGTAGTTTTATCAATCTTTGAATACACATTTACTTTTATAATTATACTGTTTGTACACGTATTAACAAGATGTAGCAAAATAAAGTATACTAAACCAAATGGCTCAATTGTTTGCTTTTTGGTATTCCTAAACCAAAAGCTGTATACATTGCACTAATTCTGTGCCATCAAGGCTAATATGTTATTAACGTTATACGTGACAGTCTGTATATAATTCCTGTAACCAACATAGATATCTTACATGTAATGTTATGTCTTTGCAAGGAGCTTCCTTAGCAGGCAAAAGATTAGTGTGCTAAATTATCTTGACCTGAGCAGCCTTTGAACAGTATTCCTATGCAGTTGTTTCATGTTGCATTTCTGAACAATGAATTTTGTCAAGTAATAACTGAGTTTATCCAAGGGATTTGTTTGGTTTGCTTGAACCAGTGAAAGACGAGATTGAAAGGATAACTGAACAAATCTGTAGGATATGACTTGAAAGCTTTTCCTTTGTCCAGCTCTGTGCTCTTTTGAAAAAGGTTTGATGAAGTGTAGTTGCATTCTGCATCCTCACAATAGGCAGTTACATCCCTTTTAAGAAAAAGCAGTTTCTCTAAGGCCAGTAGAATTTGATTACTTGTTTAGAGGTCCGCTTGGCCTGTTTTTTAAAACTTTGTCAAAATTATGATACCCAAAAGATTCACCATCATTCTGATAATCCATTTGATTGATTTTTGAAGAAGACTGTTTTATTGCTTTTATCATTATCTTGCGGTTTACAATGAAATCCATTGGACAATAATTATTTGATGATAGATATTAAGAGAAAGTCTTTATGAACCAATTGCTTTATTTAGATACCTGAGATTAAGATTCAGACTGAAAGAAAACGTGATAAAAGGCAGATCCATGCTAAATTGGATGAAAGCCGAGCATAATGTCAGTAATCCTCTACATTGAAAAAATCCAGAACCTAATAGTAAAAAAAGTCAACCACCCTCTTAGTTAATTTGTAGTGGAACAGTCCTCAGCTAATTTGAAGAAATGTCACAAAGACATTAGCCACAAGAATGGCACAGGTCAGTGAGCATTGACAGAAACAAGAGTAAACAATCAGGAGGATGTTGGGTAATATAGAGATGTGCCCAGCTTATCCCCTTTGGCAATCTACACCAAGTCACCCTCTTTGACAGAAAACGCATTATAATTTGACCAAAACTTTGTTGTTGCTCACTGACACAGATTACAAATATTTCTCCTTTCAGGTGTGTTAGAATCCACAAATTTCTTAGTGAAATGGTATTTTTTACCCTCGTTAACACAATCGCAGAGTCCAATCTCATGCTTAAGGCAAGAAAGCGATATTTTTAGTAAAAGTTTGCAGCAGGCCCTTTCAGAAGGTGTAGCCTGGAGTGCGGTATCTTGCCCGAGGGTGATGCACATCGTTAGCATGCCGATGTGCGCTGTCCGTATTGTCAGGATGCAAATGAAGTGGTTGTTCCACCTGTGAACTCCGAAGCAAGAAGGTGGCCTTTCAACTGTGTTACCGCACGCCTCAAGCACCCGGTGGACGAAAGGGGGGACGATTCTTCATGTCAACAAGTTCTTCTAGCATCGCGGGGCAACTCTTCGTACGCTTCTGTTCTCAAATGGGCCTCAAAATCGTGAGTAGACTGTCTGAAGTTTCTGAAATAACTTCCCAGTAGAGTCTCCTTCCACACAGATGCCTAAAACTTTCTTTTTTTTTACCTTTCCACAACCCTGAAATGTGACTTTTGTCTAGTTTATGATGAATCAATTCCACTGTTTGATTACATACAGTTGCTTGACCTTCTAATTCTTCTCTTTTTCGTCCAATGTTCACTTTAAAATGTCTGTGGTTATAAAGCTGACACTCAGTGGCTAAGTTGTAACTATCAAAGGAAAAATTATGAATAATAGTCAAAAAAAATATATTAGTACATGATTATAATGGTGATTAATCTCTTTAATGACCATTGATAGAGCACCAGTTCTGATTGTCATTTTTCACTGCCAGAAATGACTCTTAAAGACATAAGAGTCATAGTATGGAAGTACTAGTAATACATGTACTAGTACATACATGTAGATATTCCTAACAGTCAATGGTTTAAAGGAGATGAGAGCTAATTACAGGAAATTCAATTTTAGGATTACAGGAATTATTCCATAATGTCACAGTGTGTTGTTACCACATCTCAAATGTTCGGAAGACATTTGATCTGTTTGTTTTGTGTGAAAATTGCAAGGTCGATTCAGACTGGTCAGCCGAGGGCTTTAGATAGCTGTGCGTTCTTTTATCCGCTCAGTAACGCTAGCGTGTGACACACCTTGACCTTTTTTGGGGGGCACACCTACAGACATGCACAGCTGAAATCCACACGAAAAATCTGTGACTTTTAGTAGTACTGTCTTGTTAATTTACCACTTGATGATGTTCGGTCTCATTTCTGTTACATTGGCTTGAGGACTGTATACATATAATTATGCTAACTACAAGATAAAGGCATTCCAGAATAGCCTATAATGGTTGACATAACATGTGACCTTGTACACATAATTGTTTTTATCATTCTCAAAACTTTCCATGACATCATGATACGGAATCATAACACATCATAAAGAAGAGACATCTTAGTCATACCTTCTCATCTGTAAGTTATGATTTTAGACAGGGATTTTAAATGAAAAGCTAACCTGCAATTTTGGCATAACTCTGTGATTTGTCATTTAAATTTGTAGGTGTGGCCATGTATACATTGTGGTACTTGACCCCTAAGTGTCAAACTCCTGCCATTTTTCTGTCAAATAACATGACATTAAGACTAAAGATGACACCCGTATGGGGCTTAACTTGCAGCAGGTAGTGCAAATGCTATGTTTGTACTTGTGATTAATAAGAAAAATGCAGTAAAATCCCTCAAAATCATTTTTACCCTGACCCCAAAAGGTGTCTTGAGTAAGGGTTGACCCTCCCCCCAGGACATAAAAGGAAGGACACCAGAAGGTCAAACTAATTTGTTTGTCATGTGCCTTCTGTAGATGTCAGAAGAGGATTATATCACATTTCTCTATAGATTATACTTCAGGCACATGATTATGTCATTGTTATTCCATTGTGTGATTATCAGATAACAGAAACTTCATTTTTTTAGGATATTGGAGTTTTCTTGTGCACATACATTTTTGCCTAGTACCAACATTTTGGAAGTGTACCTTCCTGATGATATCTTCCCTGTTTATTCTGTCCAAAATTATTAAGATTTACCTAAAATCTTGTATCTTTGTACTGTCATTAGCCATTATGTCATGAAGGTCAACATAGGCAGAGATGTTCTTTATAAAACTTCTTTGTTCTATAATATGTGAAATTGCTGAATTTTAAACTACCAGACTAAGCTATGAAGCATTAGATAGTGTACATCACTGAGATGTTAGTCCATTCCCCCATGGGGTGAGTACTGGTACCTCCCTCTTTGTCTAAACACGCTCCTAACATAGTTTATGGGTGAGTCACTCCTGTGTATAGTTGGATCAACTCAAGCATCTCAACATAAAAGAGTACAAGGCTGTATGGAAACATAGTCAAACTTCTTTTTGTTTGGTTGAAGGGTGGCAAACAGACACAGACAACCACCTGTTATCTAGTTTGATATATATGTAGGACCTCCTTTTAATAAACTGCCTATTACACGCATATCCTGGAACTTTGTACTTGAAGTTTTTTTAAAGAAATTTTTTAAGACTAATAAATCTGTTAGAATATATAAGAAATTCCTATTTCGATATTAATTGTGTATCACAAATACATTGTATGGTCAATCAAAAACACCTAAAATACTAAGTGTGCATTAGCTTAACAATATTCAAACAAAGCAGAACATATCTCTTGAACATTTAACTTGAAAAATGTCTTGTCAACAGCACTCCCAGAAAATGTCTCCTCTCCCTACATGTATCTCTCTCCTGATGCTGAGTTAGGACTTTCAAACTTTTTTTGATGCCTTCTTCTTTAAACAGAATTGAAAGCAATTAAGCACGATGTGGGACACAGATGAGCAGCTCGTCATTGAGCAACAGGTAAGCAATTCTTCCTGAACTCTGCCTATGCCAATAATGTTGCATAAAGTGACCCCCCTTTACAAGCTTTAGTAAAAATGAAACTTTTATACTTGGTGAAAAATCCCATGCAGAGCAGCCATTAATGAAAGGGACAATACTCTTTGCTGTTGTCACCCTTCTATCTACCCATGACAATGCCAGACTTTGGTCAGATTTGTAGGACCAAACAAAGAATTGGCTCTGTTGTAGTAGTTTGAATGCTTCGGAATAGGCAAACATGGCCATGGCTATTGGTATGCTATTGTATACAAAAGGTAGTACACATGTACGTTTCTAGCTTGATCTGTACAATAAGCAAGTCAACCTGCCATGGGAGCATCAAGACCTTGTAACAGTTGTCAAATTGTGTTGATGTACATTTCTTTGCATGTTGATTGTTGTATTATTGCAGCAATAATGTCTTCACAATCCCAATCATCTTTGATCAATTCTAATGTGCAATCATCATGATAATGAATTTCCTTACAGAGAGTTGGGAATGGGGTGCAGTCCACAGTGCAGGGCTGGATGAACGGTGGTCTGACAAACGGAACAGAGAAGTACACCAAGGATGGCAAGAGGATCGTGGCAGAGGAGGAATGGTTTTATGATGATGGAAAATGGGTGAGTGTTTTGTCTACAATGTTCTGGCAATATGCTAACAGGATGAAACACAATGATAGTTAAGATCCTAGACTATTAGACAGATATGATCTTAGTCATTGAAAAAGTCGAGCTAAAACTCTGCACTGCACCAACATTAAGTTAAATATCTAATCCTAGCAGACCTTAGGGCTCATAGTATCTATATTGTTGATGCATGGATTCGAAATTTGTAACGATGAAGATTGTGGAGGTGGAGACAGTTTGACTTTTGGAGGTCTTGTGTCTAAATTTGGTAGAAAGTCAACCACTAGTAGGTTTTAAGTCTTAAAATGTATAATTATCATCTTAGTGTAATATCATGTGTATATACAGGTTTGTATGTATGCAGTGTCTTGTAACATATATGTTTACAAAACTAGATTATAGTTGGTCATTTTTCCGCATCACTTGCAACTTGGAATCTTATTGTAACTTGTAAGTGAATGGGCTAGGGGGTGAAAACTAGATCAGTTTTGCCAATACAGGTTAATAACAGTTTTACAGTTGGCTAGTCAAATTGAATACATAACATTACATACACAACACAACCTGACACTGATTTGATATTTTTCCACAGGTGCACATCTGGATATATGAAGACCAGGTCTTTGAAGTGGAAGATGCCAAATCCAGGCTGGAGTTTGAAGCAGCTTCCAAGGAATTGAAGAAGACAACTAAAGTTATAGAGGAGACAGTGGTTAAGGAAAAGGAAGTTGAGGTAAGTAGTACAGAACTAAACATTTGGATTTGATGTACATGTATTTTACACTTTTCTGTTTTTCTTCCTTTGTGTGTGTACATTGAGACTGCTAGACAATATGGTACCTAAGGACACTTGTATTCTGTTGTTTTGATTTCTGTCAGAATAGAAGACATGGAGACTTTTCTGAATTGATATCATATATTTCTCTGGAGATAAGAAATAAGAAAGATACATGTATGACAACATAAGGCCACACCAAGTTTTTAACCTTATCCAGAATAAACAACTTTTATGTATGATGCTGTTGACACAGTTTTCTATCATCTTGAACACAAGATACAACTTTTTCCTCACATATCATGTATAGGAAGAGATTAAGGGTCCTGGCATGCGGATCATCATCAAAGGACCATTCCGACTGCAGCGAGCACCTCCCAAGCCTGGCATCAAATGGAAGAAGAAAGTAGAAGAGGTACTGGGCCTGGAGCCCAGGGTGTGGGAGGCAGTGGTAGCAGGAGCGTTAAAGCATGGGACAGAGAGTGATTTGGGGCCTTGTAGCTCGGCAGTGCTTGAACCAGAGGTGGTAGATGTAGATGCTTTAGTAGTTGAAAGTGACTCAGAGTCTGCAATCCCAGTGGTGTTGGAACAGGTGCAAGCTGGTAGTGGTGATGATGTAGATGAGGCAATGGTGTCAGCAGGACCAGTGGAGGATTCTGTGATGCCATTGCCAGAGGGGAAAGTCAAGGTGCCAACATGGCTAGAGAGCGTTTGGAGCAGTGGGTATGGGCAGCTTGCAGAGGTGAGCAACTGGTAGTGGTACGTTATTTGTCTATGTATAAAATAGTCTTAAATGTTCCTCTTGGAAAATCCCACCTTGCCTGTGAACTATAAGACCATGCATACAGTATTTCGCAACGTTTTTAGAATAGCCAAATAATGTGCCATTGAATGGCCAATTAAAATGAATTGACTTTTTACAGGATACCAATTAGATCATGGTTACTGTATGTCTGTATCCCTCAAGCTTTCGATACCAAAAGTTATCAAACCATGTTTTGTTTTTTTACCTTTTGGCATGTAACATAATTTACAGTTTAAGTTAATCCTTATAAAATCTTGCAACAGTTCAATCATGGCATATTACACAGTGACATTGAATGAAAATCTTGACATGCATTGAGATGTGTACGTGCAAACCTTGATTCATTCAATAACTGCACATAAGGGAGGGTCGCTAGGCTAACCTGGATATTCATCACCACTAGGTCAAAAAGGAACTGAAAACAATAGAGGTCCTGGAAGAGTCAGACTCAGGCATTGAGAGCACACCTACGCATGAGGTCAGGAAACTCAAACAGATCCAATATGGCATCGGTCGCGAGGAAAAGCAACTGGGCAACACAAAGATTGCCGCAGCACAATTTGAGAAGGCCATCCCGGTTTCCCAAACGACGGAAGAGAAGTTCGTCAGACCGTCAGTACAGCAAGTCCAGACAGAAGACGCAGTATACAACCAGGGCACAGAGGAGACGCTGAAGCTAGCATTAGAAAGTACCCGCACAAGTGTGGACTCCTCTACTGCCAACTTTACCCGGCCACAGTACAGCAATGTCGTCCAACAGCTCTTTCAACCTAAGAAGACGACTACAGAGAGCCAAGATCCCAGCTATAACAGGGGAGTCGCGGGAACTGTCTCCACACAAGAGGAGAAGATCACAGGAGACATAGAGAGCTTCGAGTTTCAGAAGGTGAATTATGAGTACATAGACGTGACGAAAAACAGGGCACAAGAATCCATAACAAGAAGTCTAGACCCCAATTACAACAACGGAGTGGAGGAGGAGATCAAAATAGCGCTGGGTGAACTGCAAGGAGTCATCCCAGGTCTTGTGTACACAAAACCCTGCTACGAAGTGCTCAAACAGGACCAGAGCAAGGCATTTGTTAGTCAAGTGCGCAGCGAATCTCCTGTGTTCATAGAAGCTGGCGAGGGGCAGACAAAGATACGTGCAGTCGGTAACGTCTCCGAAATACCCCCGATCAAATGGCACCAAGCAGCGGTGGGAAAACCTGGCCCAGCGCTGTCAACGGCGAAGACATCCGTGGTCAAAACCGAGAGGGCGTATCACAAGGGGAAACAAGAGGAGACATTTGTTGAGGCGGAAGAAGTGAAAGACAACATTAAGAAGTTGTCGTACTCGAAAGCAGCTGTGGAAGAAACAAAGAAGCTACCTTCAGTCAAGCCGGAGGTGTTCCAAGCAGAGATAATTAGTGCGAAATACCTGGAAGCCAAAGAGGCAAAAACGGAATTGAAGCTGGGAGAGGTTAAAGATAACATTGAAAAGTTCACTTACTCAAAAGCTACCATCAAACAAACAGAAAAGCTGAGATCGATTAAGCCGGAGGTGTTTCAACAGACCAGTCAGGAGCCACAATTCATACAAGCCAAGGAGACGAAACGAGAGTTGAAACTGAAGGCCACACTTGAGGAAATACCAGCCTTTAAGTATCAAAATTCACCCATAACAAAAGTCCCGAAGGTGCCATTCCATATGGTGGTGAAGAGTTCTGTGGATGTTTGTGTACCTTTATACCGTGCAGAAGAAGGAAACGTCACAGTTGAACCTGAAGAAGTTGACGGTGAGCTGGAGCCTTTAGACTTCAAGAAGACCACATTTGAACCGCTTAAACAAGTGGTCTGGAAGCACAACACAGATCAGGTGTCGTCCGTCGATGCGAAATACCTCAGTGGCGAAGAGAAGGAAATCACTCTGGAAAAAGAAGAACTTGGTGCAGCAATTGAGCCATACAAGATCGAATCCTGCACCTACTCTACAGTTTCCCAGGAGATGCACACGCCCAACTCAGAGGAAGTTGAGACGGCAGCTCCCAGTTACCACCAGGCCACGGAAGAAGAGGTCGTGGTGACTGCAGAGCAGACTAGGAAGGGCGAACCACCTATTCCATGGGACAAGACGGCAATAGAGAACATAGAAGTGGTGCTGTCGTCTGCCACCTCAGATATAGCAGAATCAAACGAATCAGCGTATCTCGAAGCAGAAGAGGCCGAAGAGCACGTCACTTCCGAGGAAGCAGGAACCTTTGAAGGTGTCGCCATGCAAACGCCAACTTACGAAGTGATAGAGAATCTTGGAGGCAAGGTTGAGAACGTGACACTCCAGAAGACAGAAGCTCCACAGTACAACCAAGCAGTTGAGAACACACTGGAAAAGCTGGAATTGGAGAGAGTTCATAGAACTCAGCCCCCAATCATCGAACGGGCGGAAGTCGACATTATAGAGGTAGACAAAGCTGCTCACGTATACGTCAATCAGCCAGAGGTTATACAGGTCCCTGTGCCTATACATACTGCCGTAGAGGGGGATCTGCCGAAATGGGAGGTTTGTGAAGATGTTGAGTTCGAAGAATTGAAGCTCTTGAAAGCGACGCCAAAGATTGCCCTGGGACAGGTATCCAAGGCAAAGGGAAGTCAGCCAGACGTACAGTTTGCAGACGAACCATCCCCCGTCATAACGGATGAGGTGTACCAAGTAAAGAGACCCATCTCTCCAACTCCAAGAGGAAACTTCAAAGTCAATGAAAAGTTACTAGAGCTGGTGCTGGGAGAGACAGAGGAAATTCCACAGATAGAGATGAATTCATTAGAGGAGAGCCTAGTCCCAGAAGCCGAGGAAGCTAAGGCCGACAGCACCGAGTTACAGACCCTGTACATGGACATCAAGTTCGCAGACGAAAATCAGTATGATCTTCAACTCGACGAAGTCGTGGATCTAGAGGAGTCATACACCATGGACACGGCTGACATCAGTCTGGCTGACATGGACGCTTTCGGAAAGGTAGAGGTGGCGGTTCTCCAAATGAAGAAAATAGATCTCCCCATGCTTGAATTCCACGAAGAGCTGGAGCAGATCACAGTGGCAGACGTTAATCTTTCTCCTATCGTGATTTCTCCAAAGCCAAAACAGTTACGTGCTGAGTACCACGTAGAGGAGGCAGAAGATTACCCTGACTATGCACTGTCCCTACAAGCGGTCCCACGGTCTCTGCTGAAAGAAGCGCATGAAGATAGCATCCAGGTGACCCCGGAAGGCGTGCTTGAAGTGCCAGAATTAAGTTACAGTGATTCCAAGGAAGTGGCAGTGCCTGAGATGGAAACTCAAGTCGCAGAAAAAACAGTTGTTGACACGTTCAAGGCACCTAAAATTCACCACGGGCAAGAGTACGTGGAGACTGTTCGGCCCGAGGAGTCAGAGCCACTTGCCGAGGTGACAAACACCTCCGCAACGTCTGGGGAGGTGGATATATTGGAAATGTGGAAGGCACTTGTCCAAGAATCTAAGGTAGAGCTACATACCTTACAGGCACAGGAGACTAACATCAACATGATAGGGTTGGAAGTGATCTCTGATATCACTCCACTGTCACCGGATATTGCAAAGGAATTTGATGTACCTGTTGAGTCTTTCATTCATGTTGAGGAGGCTCCTAAAACAGAAACGTCAGTCGACGTTCCCCTACCAGAGCTGAAGCACTCCCAAGAGGCTATTCTTTTACTAAAAGAACATGAAATCGTCAACGTACCCCGCAAGAAGGAGACTGAAGGAAAGGCCACGGTTCTCGCTGTGCCGACGCAACGCCTAGAAAACGTTCAGTCGTCAAAGCCTGAGATTATGCAAGCTCAGAACTTTGCAGAGGAGCATATCATCGACACAAGACAGGAGTACATCTACATCATTCCACCTTCTGGTAACGAGGACGCGCAAGTCACAACGCTTCCAAGAATTGACATGGACAAAGCTCATGCACAGTCGTCCAGAATGGAGCAGTTTCCCGAAGAGCACACCATCGACCTGCAAGAGGAGGTCGTCCTTACAATTGATCCCTCCTCTCGGACCGACATTGCAAGCTCCTCCATGCTACCGCAGGATCAAATGGACCGTGCAAACGCGCAACGCTACAGGATTCATCAACTAGCCACTGAACAGGTGATTGACATGAAAGAACAAAGGGTAATCGTGATAGAACCTCCCGAGCATACGACAGCGGACACGTCCTCTCTCCCACACCTAGAGATGGACCGTGCCCGGGCAGAGCGGTACAGGATCCAACAGTTAGCACAAGAAGGGGTGGATAATTTGGAGGAACAGGAGGTTGACACAATTCAGCCCCACACATCGGATGCAGCCAGGAGATCCACGCTTCCACACGTGGATATGGATAAGGCTCGTGCAGAACGATATAGAACGCATCAGATGGCTCAAGAGGCGTCGGTCGATTTTAAAGAGCTCCAACTTGACACAATACAGCCGCATTCGTCGGACGCGGCCAGGGAGTCCACGCTTCCAAACATGGAAATGGACCGTGCTCGTGCGGAGCGCTACAGAATCCAACAGATGGCCCAAGAGGGGTCGGTTGATTTGAAGGAGCGAAGCGTTACTTGGATAGATCACCACACATCGGATGCGGCGAGACGTTCCACACTTCCACACGTGGAGATGGATCAAGCTCACACAGAACGCTACAGGATCCAGCAACTGGCCAGTGAACACGTCATTGACATCAAAGAGCAAAGGGTAATCGTGATAGAACCACCTGAGCCTACGACAGCTGGCACGTCCTCTCTCCCACACTTAGAAATGGACCGTGCCCTGGCAGAGCGCTACAGGATCCAACAGTTAGCACAAGAAGGTGTGGAGGATTTGGAGGAGCAGAGGGTTGACACAATACATCCCCACACATCGGATGCGGCAAGGAGATCCACGCTTCCACACGTGGAGATGGACCAGGCCCGGGCAGAACGCTACAGGATCCAGCAGTTAGCCCAAGAAGGAAGTGTCGATATCAAAGAGCAACAGGTCACCTGGATAGATCCACACACATCAGATGAAGCCAGAAGATCCACACTACCACACTTGGAACTGGATCAAGCTAGGGCAGAACGCTACAGGATCCAGCAGTTAGCCCAAGAGGGAAGTGTTGATGTAAAAGAGCATTCACTCGGCACAATACAACCCCACACATCGGATGCAGCCAGAAGGTCCACACTTCCACACTTGGAAATGGATCACGCCCGAGCAGAGCATTACAGGATTCACCAGTTAGCCCAAGAGGGAAGTTACGATATCAGGAACATTCACTCGGTACAATACAACCCCACACATCGGATGCAGCCAGGAGGTCCACACTTCCGCACTTGGAAATGGATCAAGCTAGAACAGAACGCTACAGGATCCAGCAGTTAGCCCAAGAGGGAAGTTATGATATCAAAGAGCAACATGTCAACTGGATAGATCCCCACACATCGGATGCAGCCAGAAGGTCCACACTTCCACATGTGGAGATGGATCAAGCTAGGGCAGAACGCTACAGGATCCAGCAGTTAGCCCAAGAAGGAAGTTACGATATCAAAGAACATTCACTCGGCACAATACAGCCCCACACATCGGATGCAGCCAGGAGATCCACACTTCCACATGTGGAGATGGACCAGGCTCAGGCTGAACACTACAGGATCCAGCAGTTAGCTCGGGAAGGAAGTTATGATATCAGAGAACATTCAGTCGGCACAATACAGCCCCACACATCAGATGCAGCCAGGAGGTCCACACTTCCATACTTAGAGCTGGATAGAGCCCGTGCTGAGCGATACAGAATTCACCAATTAGGGCGTGAAGAAGTACTCCATACTAGGGAGGCATATGTCGATAGTATTCCATCAACATCTCACCATCATCATGGGAGGGTCATCATGGTCGATGCATATCCCGTGCACATGATGAGACCAAAACCAACCGTGTGGACCGAGATTCCCGCGCCAAGGGTCCGGAACCCACCACGGGAGACTGTCGTCAATTCTTCCGCGAGGAACGTCATCGGGGTTATTCCACCTCTGGCCACGGACGCCGCCAGGCAAGGTTCTATACCTGCTGAGGTTTTGGAGAAGGTACAGGAGCAACTCGTGGAGAGTCACCAAGCGCCCGCTGACGAGGGAAGCATCCATGAAAGGGTGGAAATAACATCGGTCATCCCTCCTCTCCCGGCGGATATTGCTCACAAAGCGGAGACGCCAGCAGAGGTCTTCCGCAGGGTACACTCGCACCATGTTCACAGTCATCACGCGTACACAGGCCAGGAGACGAACCTGGCTGAGGTAGTGGAGGCACAAGAGCCGCTTCCTCCCTTGGAGACCCGCACGTCTATGTGGCGACTTGTCCCGGGGCACGAAACAGCGAGGGCCAGTTCGACAAGCAAGGAGTCTCACTACATGCCGGAGACGGAGGTTGCCAACGGGCTCATCCCCGCTGTCGAGCGAAGGGTGCCCGCCCAACACGTTGTCACCTCCGATGAGTTCCACAGGGCAGACGCCTCCACGCTACACAGCAGCTGGGTTCCGGCGGAGATCCAGGTTGTGGGAGAGCTGGACACCCTGATGCAGCAGGGCATCATCCGGTTCAACCCTCTCAGTCAGCTAGTCGAAAACGGTGTCGATGTACCCGACTTGCATGATTACGACGAAATGTTCAAGGTCAAACAGCATAGTGGGATAAGGAGATCGTCTTCGTTACAACATCCAGTCAACACCAGGCCTCTTCGGCAGATAGAAAGCTTCAAGGTTGGCCATATCCCTCTAGTTGGCTATCCGACCAAGCAGTGGCCTTCAGCGCAACAGCTTGCTTCGGGAGCGGTGGAAGACAGAGGTGATGACGACTTCGACTACGAGAAGATAATCAGGATGACAACAGGTGGCAAACACGAAGTCAGTGAAGACCAGCTGCCCAAATCAGGATGGTCTACCGTTGAGGTGAAAGGGCAGGACAACGTGGCCGAAATACAGCAAAGATCCATGGAAAGCATCTACAGCCGCCAAGATTCCGTTTTCATAGATCACAGAAAGCCACAACCTAAGAGCGACAAACCACCTTTTGCCTTCGACTTCAGTCGTCTGATTCACTGGACGGTTGGTCAGCAGAATGAGATAGAGAAGCTGCCGACACATCCCGGCGCTAACCCACCTCATCTCGTCCCCGTCAACTTTGACAAGACCACCACATGGGTTGTTGGGAGCGGAGGAACAGCACCGGAGAAAACATACGTCAGCGTTGCTGTCCCAGTCAGGGTCAGGAACACCTACTTTGTCGAGGGGCCCGAGGACAGGTCTGACATTGTCAAGTCACCAGAGGCCACCGTTCTCCACGACCTGCAGGACTGGAAGACTTTGACACGACAGGGAGGAAGGACGGTCTTCTCAGCGATGAGCGACGAGCAGCAGTACTCCTCTGCTCCGCCATTCCAAGATTATCATCAGCCCTATAACGGTGCGTACGGAGACAGCCGTCAGTACAAAAGGCAAGTGTCAGCCGACAGCAGTGCGTCTGGACGTGTCAAACGAAGGGCACCGCAGCCACCCGTTCAGAGGGCAACCAGCCCTGTACAACCTGCGTACGTGTCACCACCACAGTCACCTGTCCAGAGGACAACCAGTCCTGTACAACGTGCGTACACGTCACCGCCGCAGTCACCTGTTCAGAGGACAACCAGCCCTGTGCAACATGTGTACACGTCACCTCGAGCACGGCCATCTAGTCTACCAGTGTCCCAAGGTTGGTCCAATATCTACATTGTATTCCCGATTGCAAAGCAAATATAGCAGGTTGCAAAAAAATGTATTCCCGATTGCAAAGCAAATTCCATGCAATGGTATTAAAAACATAACTGAAAATCCCGAGTTTTACACAACAGATTCGCCACAGAAGCCAGCAACTGCATGAGTATATTCTAATGCTATTTTGAATTTCACAAAAATTATATTCACTGACAATTGAACTGTACAATTGCGGTTTTGAGGCAATACACTGTATTAGCAGTATATACTTCACTTGCCATGGATGACTTCAGAGTATGTCATAAGCTGTGTTACGATGTAATTCATAACCATCCTGTGGATACATGGCCTAATAGCACCTTTTAACAACTTGTTTCAGGTGATCCAACAGAATGCCCAGCATGATCGGCAACTTTCCTTAAAACCCTCTTATATGAAGTCCATGTAGTTACAGTGTTGTAGTTGCATTAACTTAGAACATGGCGGAAGTGTATATATCATCAATAGGGAAGATAAAAAAATGCTTAGGCCCCATCCTCTATTTCAGTCCATGTATAAAGTACAGTATATTGAATTGAATAGAGGAATGTACGTTACGTACAGAATTGAATTGATGAGATGTTTGCTTAGAGTTGAGGCTTGTAAAGTCATTGTCCCGAAAAACAGAAATATACTTCATTATGATCGCAAATGGTGGCAATTATACGTTCGAACTAGTACTTAGCTATGTAATTCTAAAGATAAGTCTGGAAAAATGCGTTTTAAATCGATTCAATGGGCCCAGCCTATCTCCTCTCAGGTTTCTTTCGTGATTATTTGTTAACTAATATAACTGTTGTTTTCCTAACAGCTCTTAAGTCACTTACTTAGTCAAGGTTGATATCATAAACATCACATCTCAACTCACTAACATTCCTCCCCATGACTCTAGGTTTCTTTGCATTTCTAATTCATGATAACATCAGAGGTTACTACTTTTTGTTGTATGTTTTTCAACATTATTTCTTTTCCATGATAACATTGTGGTTACACCACTTTATTTTATGACCAGTTGTTTCTAACACTACTTACTCCTTTCTCGCTGCTATCTGCACCAGCTTCTGCGCATGCTAGGCACGTTCAATCAGTGCAAAGTGGCTACGCCTCCCCGCCAGAACTTTCCCCTTCCCGTGAGTCTAGATCCCCGTCCATACCCCGTCCTCCCAAAGGACCCGCTCCCCAGCCCCCAGCTGCAGCGCCGCTTACCCCGCCTCCAGGTACTGCAGGCACCACGGTACCCAAGGCGCCGATGGTCAATGGGAGGCACTCTCCATCGGAACTAGTCAGTGAGTACCAAATTTATGTTCCGTCTAAACGTGTATTGAAAAGACCTTTGAATGCCAAGGGATGGGAAAACTTTGCTATTTTCAGGTTAAAGTCATTGTGGACAATATCATAGCATTTGGAGGCCATTTGTGAACTTGACAGAACGTGTAGATATGTATAATGTATTCCATTTTGTTTGCACCATTGTAAATACCAGCAATGGTACCAGCATACCAATCTAAATCCTGAAGAACTACATCTTTAATGCATTCCTCCTGTCTATGCCTACAGATGGGGATGGGGATGACTATATAGACCTACGACGTGACAGCGAGGTCAGCTCTGTATCATCCTATGGGAGTCAGAAAGCACTGAAGGTAGCCTATCTATTTTACACAGACAATGTGTAATGGTACTAAAAGAACTGGGTTAGTCACAACATCACTAGTACTGATAGGATGTTAAATGGAGTGAAATGGAGAGCTGTAATCTTAAACTTTCCAAGGCTTTGGATACCAAAAGTAGAAGGAAGCAAAGGGAAAGATAAACATTCACTAGAAAGGTAACAGTTGCAAAGCAAATGCATAATGTTTACCTTCGCATATGGTCTTCTTTGTTAATTCTTACACAAACACATACACATATGGCGACAGGAGTCTAAATCCCTTCTACTATAAAATTGCAACATTATGTAACCCAACACCAGTTACCATGGTGACAGACGGTCTGGTTCAGGTCATTGACCAGGTCAGAAGTTGGAACGGAAGAAGAAGGAATAGAGCAAAAACAGTATGTTTCCTTCGGTAAACATAATAAACGACATTCTGTTATTGAAAAGATGAAAGAACATCTCTATGACACCTTTACTTCCGAACTTTCCAGGGACACAAGTCTTCAAAGGGATATTTCCCCATCTTCAGAAGATCCAGTAGTAAGGAAAGTTTTGGGAAGCGTCCGAGTATCACTGATGACAGGTCACCAACTGAACCCAAGAGGAGGTGGCCAAAGATACAGATATAAAAAGATGATGTAAAAAGTGAGTTATCCATTTATACACAATGTTTCGATAAAATAAGCTCCTTTGGTCTTATTTTTCATGCTAAAAATCTTCATCAAACTTACTCCTGATGTTTCTCTGTTCTAGGAATGGAAGCGTGAAAGAAGGACTTGACTAGATGATGTAGTATCCCAGATCCAGTATAGAAGTTGGAAAGGGATATGTCAAACAGCATATATTTTAACGTTGATACTGACAATAGACTGGGGAATAAAGAGTAACTGAAGGTTGAACATGAAAAGAGAAATTTTGTATAGATATGTCGAAGCGGAACGAAATATGATGCGACCTGTAACGATTACTAACCTGTAAGTACTTGGTGTGGAACTGGGATTGTATATGTAACTACACATGGGGTTATTGTCACTCGGATATTATACATAGCGATATACATGTATTCCCTGGTGATGGGACATGTAATCAAAATATTACTATGGGCTGAAGTATATAATATATATGGAAATTAACCTTGCATATTATAAGTTTCCAACTGGGGATATGATATGATGACGCAGCCATTGAAAATACTGCCATATTAGCTGACTCCACATAGCAGCTTTTCCTACTGACACGGATTCTCGGTAGAAAGATATTGAATATTCACATATTGAATGATTGACAATGGTTACTTCGTACCCTGAGTAAATGTAGGTCCCTGGAGTAGTAAAAAATACATGCAATGTTGTAAATACATCTAGAATACTCTGAAATGGATAAATACTGGACACGGACAGTTACGTCAATATGGTTAGTCTAAGTTACCTTGTTTTGTTCAACACATTCAAACAGTACCGCAAACCTTATTGTTAATTATAAAAATAATGTTCGTCAATGTTACCCAACAACACAGCTTTTATGCTTACTATATAATACTGTCATTGAAACCTATAAATATAGTCTAAGTGTTGTCATGTTAAGATAACAACTGCATGGGACATTTAAGGTGCTTTGATATCATATACTGGGTGACATGAAGTTAAAATCTAGCATATACACAGTATACCTCACAACCTATTATATGTCAGGCCACCGTTTGTTATATAGAGGTGGCTTGTTATAATTAGTCACGAATACATGTATCTTAAGATGACAAAATATTAAAAGTAATCTAACCTTTTGTACAACCTTATAAGCAGACCATACGGTGGGACGTTACAAGTCATGTTACAGGGTTGTATTATAATATAACAATTGAACTACTATCACAGCTTGACGTATTTATTATGTCTGATTTCTAATTACATTTAAGGTATGCTTGCCTGGGACAAAATTACTGCTTGTATCTAATTTTAGAGAAATACAGTAGGAAGCAATTATGAAACGATGTAATGCTGTTCCAGTTTTTATATTTCTTTATTCTGCTTCCTTTTTTAAAAGACTTCTGTTTCACCTTTAATCCAAGTAGCTTATTTTACAGCCATTTGCATGAAAGCATGTTCCTTTTTTGTTCCACATGGAACTGGCTATCCTACACTTTATTCTTCAGCCAGCAACATAAACAATTTAGAACGTGACCAGACTAAAACCGACAAATTTGATTCTATGTCAAATGCTAATATGTCATTCACCGGTCTGCATTTAACCGGTTCACACCGGTAATGCTTGTACATTTGTATAAAGTTAGCTCTGTCTTGCCTGTTGTCAGGTCATCGACGTTGTCACTAAATCTGTAACCCGTCGACGCCCATGTTACGTTGGGTGTAACCATTTCTAAATCCCCGCATACCTGCCTAGGAACATAAACACCTTCTGTAGTCACCTTTTCAGGTCGTAGACTTAAAAAGCCTTTCTGACAAGGACGCGGCCTTCGACTGTCCCTTTGCAACAATTCTTTAGTTCGGCAAAACGTCATATATAATTACGAATAGCACGTCTATTGTAACATTCAGCTTGGCTGTATGATGTGGTAAAGAGTCATGATTTGACCTAGTAGTGTTGAACTCTAGGGCACACCCATTGACGACTTCTTCAACCAATCAGATTCTGTCGAAGTTGCCATTAATTCCAGGTGACTAGCCGATGATCAACAGATCAGGCGATGCGCAGGTTAGTCAGAGGTTTGGAATATTCAAATGAGGCGGTTGTACTGGCTGTGAACTAGAGCCTTCGCCGTGGTCCGCCATTTTACCGTAGTCGTATAGTTGATGGTGGTTGGTGATCTCTCTCGGTATGCTCGGATTTAGGAGGGTGCATTCTTCGGACATTTTCGGCTCTGATCGTCTGTCACTGACTAACTCGGTGAGTACCAGTCTTTTCTGCATTGATTTATGCTTTATTGATCTACGGATTTAATTAATAAGTAAGTTGTTTTGGGTAGTTTTACCTTGGGTCTAAATACACGAGTCATAACACAATCCTATCTTCACTTGTAGTTGGCCCGTACAATTGTGTAGTAATTGGTTAAACTCATCATGTAACATTTTCGTTTGTTGTTTCTTGCGTGCCCTGATTGTGTGCTGTAAATGGACAACACATGCCGTTATCTTGTCACACATTGTCTCCCCAACAAAACAATAGTGAACGCATACCATAGCGTTGTACAGCATTCGTAGAAAAGATTTAATACTGTTTTAACGAAACATGTTGAGCCACTATCTCTGTACATATATTTATGACAACCCTGTACCTGTGTACCTTGTATATACAGAAATACCTTTCATGGATACCATTGCGACCTTGGCGATGACACAGATTTTATCAGACGGTTACCGAACGAACAAAGGTTTGCTAACAAAGCCTAGGATACACGTATCGTGTAACAATTCCGTCTCTTCTTCACACCTGTCTTGGTCTGTCTCGTGAACATCCTCTGATAACAAAACTTCAATTTAGTAATACGTTTTTCATGTATACTACAATGTAGTTTCCAAATGGATATTGTAGAGTAGGCCTTTCAGGCATCAAAAGTTCTCTCAGTTGAAATGAATATATTTTACTGGCGGGTATGTTATCACTTGACAACATATCGATAAATTGTCAAGTAACATACGGAAAAGAAGCGTATTTTTGTCATGACGCTTGCTATAGGGAAGGGGATAAATCACTTCCAAGGACCTTATGCTTGATGTGGGTGGGAGTGGTGTGGCATCCAAAATACAGTACAGTGCATCACAGCTACTAAAGAGCTTATTTTACAAGCAACTCTGCCGTTTGTATTCGGCATGTCTACCCAAAACGCTTCTTGTAAAAGTGGTGGCCTCTACGACCAGTTACCAGTACACCGATATTTCTCCTTGTTGACCCTCCAAAAATGTTGTATACTGGTCGGTCCCTGGACCTTGGATTAGAATCCGGACAATAGATTCTTGTTCATGAGGATAAAATCACAGGGTGTGCTCTCATTCCCACAGGCGTGGTCACATACCTGCCTTGTGGCTTCTGACCTCTCCTCACATGGCGTATATATTACAACGAGATCGATCTTTTGACAATGATCAAGGTGTAATGACTTCCTGTAGTCCTCAAATACATGGAGTTTTTCCACGGTGACTCATACACTTACATGTCATATGTCATGATCAAAAATACACAACAATACTGTGCATTGGGAGATAGATAACACCTATCCTCTTGTTGTTGTTTATCAGTAATATTTTAGGGGTTTCAGCGATTACATGGCGATTTGCTTGTCTAGATTGCAGCCTGTCCGGAAGATGCTTTTTTGACTTATTCACTACTGTACTGGCATCTTTGATAGACATAGGTCTTCCTGGTTATTCTATTTGTCCATCTTTTTTACGTGATTAAGGAGTTTGTTTTGGCCTATGTCGTGTTAGCAGGGGTGGAAATCTTGTTGTTGTTTATCAGTAATATTTTAGGGGTTTCAGCGATTACATGGCGATTTGCTTGTCTAGATTGCAGCCTGTCCGGAAGATGCTTCTTTGACTTATTCACTGGCATCTTTGATAGACATAGGTCTTCCTGGTTATTCTATTTGTCCATCTTTTCACATGATAAGGGGGGTTGTTTTGGCCTATGTCTTGTTAGCAGTGGCGGAAATCTTGTGTGTAATACAGTCTAAAGCCGGAGGCTTAGTGCTTTTGTACAGTTCCACATTCCTGCGAACATCACAACAATGGTGTGAGCTATGTTTGGGTATGTCTGTAGTGGACAAGCGTCCATTTTTCACCTTTTCTGGCTCATCGGCAGAAGACAGATCAGTGCAGTATGATAGTGAATGACAATTTAGCAGTAGGACTGGGTTATCATGGTCTACTGCGTTCTTTCAGTATTCATGACAATACTTGGACTGTCTCTCTGTCATATTCTAGCCACTTCAACACAACGGAGTGAGATTCTCTCTCTCTCTCTATATATATATATCTTATCTCTCTGTGTGTTAGAATGCGTATGTGTGTATTTCTGTATGCTCTGTCAGATGTTGCTTACAGATAGGGTAAACTATGACCTTTAGAGACCTTGGACATGCCGTAGACACAGTCGTAGCGATATCTTGATTCTTCATCCTAGTGTTTTCCGTGTCTCACATCATAGGCTTGAGAAGAGGAACTTAAGATGTGGCAGGACGACGATAAACTTCTTATAGAACAACAGGTAAGTCAGACGTCATTTCTGATATTAGAATAACAACGTGATAAACATGTGACACTGTACAACATGTATAAGGCTAATGATATGATAGATGAAGTTGTCATTATTGCTATGCTTGAATGAATATCACTGTCTGAGATACCAGGCCCCTCAAAATCAAAGTATTCATGCTATATATATATAAAAATTTAACGGTTCTCAGTGGCCAATATGAGATGTTGTCACATCGGCGCACCAAATCCGTAAGGTGTTTTTGGCACCTTGACAGACAGATTAGCATAAGAGGCTCGGTGGGCGTCATTCCACCGTATAGGTGGGGAAGTCGTGTAAAGTGCCTTTCCCAATGACACAACGTCGGGCCACGGTGAATATCGAACCCGGGACCTCTCGGTTCCGAGTCCAACGCTCTAACCGTTGCGCCACCGA